TCTCGCGACGTGTTACCCCTATATCTGATAGAAAATTGACGAGTTTTGATGAAAGATTGCTGCTTAAAAGTTGGTGTGTGGCGCCTCGACTTAACTCCGCTCCAGGAACATCTTTTCCCAATTTCCATGCCAACAACGGGTCTCTCTGCAATTGGACTACGCGCGGTATTCTCCCCTTTATCGGGCTAGGCTTCCTTCGTTGATTGGTTGGTACGGCGAAGCCCTGGGCCTCAAGAGAACCATATTGTAGCACACCATCACTACGATACTTTATTTTCCTTTTTTGCGCAACGTTCCAACAGATTCACTCTACGCTGGAACCGAGCCCCTGCGTGCGTCGTCCTGTTCGCCCTGTGCAAGTAATGGTATCATGACGGTTTTGTTGCACGTCTTTTGCTTGTTTGTGGCGACTGCCAATGCTGACGGCTTCGGTTGTGCACACGATACCGGTTAGAGGCCTACTAAGCGGAGTGGCTGGGTTGTTCAAAGAGGTTAGCAAGGGAGTCGATCTGACAGTTAGCGCGACGGTAATGGCGATGTGGAGACGTCCCGCTTGCGCATCCCTGACTGCGGCCCGCTCGAACATCATCCGGGGCTGAGCGAGTGGCGGTGGCTGGCGGCTAATGATTGCGATTGTCTCTTCCCGCCTGGCCCCACCACCCCCTTGCACCCAACACCGCCATGCAGGAGCCCCAACGATGCTGCATCCCGATGGCCTGGGGCGACAGGCGGCAAGACACGACAACTCGGAACCGAGCCTCCTGTACGGGATGGATCATCGCACTGCTGGGTACGAGGCATGTGACACAGCTTTTGACGAGCGAGCACAGACAGCATGTTCGGTCTCACCTCTCCCAGACATCATCATTGCACCACTAGTGCCACACAGACACCTTGCAAATGCCATACCATCTAGCACGACTGATGATTCATGATAGATATTGTCGGCCGATGCCTGCATTGATCCTAATTGACAGGATTCCATAGCGATAAGGGCAAAACATCATGCTCGAGACAAGGCATGCATGTCGAGCCTCACTGTCTAGTGCGCATCATTGCATACGTGTGTAGAAACCCAGGCCGCAGTAGGTGTAAGGCTATCTCACGGCAGGGTCTCGTTTGTCGATCATATTACTGACCAGCACTGCGTCGCCACATGACGACCAACAATGCATCTTCACCGACGAATGGAATACATACCGAGTATTCTGCCGCCATGGCAAAGCCAGATTGCATGCCTCAACCTCATCATAGCGCATACAGCACTTTGCTTTTGCAATCTAATTTGCAATCTCGCAAAGGTCAGTCTCTCGGAGCCCACCTGCATGTGCAACAGACTACAACAAGCCAAGCCTTGGAGATACTCAAAGTGGAATAGTTTCCTGTACGGCTGCCGATGCAATTCTAGGGGTCGACCCACAAGCATCACGAGCTACATGCGTGACAGGCGTGTAGTCTCTCTGCTTTTGCCAGCAAATTCGGTATCCCAGTGGGCACGGGCCGAAAGAACCTAGCAGTACTCAATCCCGACAAACTCCGAAGCTGAAGCTGAGTGGTCTTACTGTGCTCGAAATACACTCGACCCCTTGTTCAACACGGTTGTTAGTCAGATCTTCATCGGAGCCCGCAAGGTTACACGACATGGCTTGGAGCGCAGCTTTTCCCGTACCAACATGTTCCCATGACTGCACATGTCGTACAAGGTTGCAGCTAGCTGGTTTGGTTAACAATCCTAAACTCGTAAGCTCCATGCCGAGTTGAACACAAGATCCAGCCCACTGCATCGCGCCGATTTATCGCTTTTTCGTGGCATCATCACGGTGATTTGATCGGTGTAATCTATGCTGTTGTCAAGCTGTCACCCGTATCCATGGTGTACCGACACAGGCCATCACAAATGCGTCATTCCCTTTTCCTCCACATAGGTGTAGTGTACAACTGGGATGAATGGGCGTCAACGTCTCAGTCTGCCTAGCCTGTCACGGCTCTCCACCACCATCACCACCGCCTTGAATCCAACCATCAGCTCGTGTAGCCCGGCGTCACACAGACTGATCAAGATACAAGCGCTGTAGATCGACACGCTTTCCGTCAGGGACCCCAGATCCATGGTTTCGGGTAGTCGCCGCCACAAACGGCAGTTGTGCGGCCACACACCGCCATCCGATGGTCGGGCTGCTGGATAATTAGGCGGGCGAGGTGTCGGCCCAGCCGTACAAGCATGCTTTCATGTCATCCGGACCGGACCGGTATGAGCAGAGTGGGTACGATACGACTTTGTTTATTTCTTTCCTTCTCTCAATGTTGCGGGACTTCGTGGTGTGGGCTGTCTGTGGGACCCCTGATCCGGCGATATTTCGCCGTGTGTGTGTGTGGGCTGCGAACTTGGAATGTCTGCTTGGGCAGACTTGCGCTGATCCTCGTTGCACATTGCTCAGTCACAGCTAGAGCTCTTGGTGCAGCGGAGAGGAGCCTTGGGTCTTTAGACGATGAGCAATACTAGATTCTGCGACAGCGAGGTCAGGATCAAAGGTGGAAGAGTCGCTGGGTGGTGCTTCGTTGTCGAGTCCTTCTGGTCACGGGGTTTTAGATGATCCAAGCGTGGCAATGTACGAGGCAAATGGCCTATTAACCTGTGTAGAGCCTACTTCTTGCCATCCGCTCACTGGTGCAGACACAGCTCTCATCTTGGTAATTCAGAAAGGTGTGCTGAATCACGTGTTCGTCATCGCACGTGATCCGCTTCATATTGAAGACCCCTGAATGCTTAGTTAATACCGTGACGATCTATTTTCGTGGTGTCCAGTACTTCTACAAGTTTCTCGCTGCTGCCTGGAGAGTACGAGCTGATTTACGGGATGGACCGGAACAAGTCAGATTCTGGACGCCTTAGGTCGGATGACCGGACGCCCGACGATACCTTGGCCATGATGTTTAAAAACACAGGATAGACGTGATGATGACACTCAAGCTGGGTATCCAACACTGCCTCTGTTCTAATACTTTGTCCTACGTCCGTACTACGGTCTTGTTTTCCTAAAAATAGATTTGTGTGGACCATAACCACTGAGTCATGAACTCAAATTCAACTTCACTCCATGAGAATGAGTATGAAGACACTCCCAAATGCCGCTACCGCCTCGACAACCAAACTTCTCATACAGTAACCCTCCCTGATGGCCGGAAGCTGGGTTACGCTGAATACGGATCGCCAACTGGCCATGCGATCCTGTACCAACACGGGCTTCCGGGCTCTCGCATCGAAGCCGCTTGTTACCACGACCTTGCCATGGAGCTCGGCGCCCGGGTCATCGCCATAGACAGACCAGGCATAGGCTGGAGCTCACCATGTGCCTCGAGGACAGTCCTCAGCTGGGCCCAAGATGTCGAGTATCTCACCGAGCATCTCAACCTAGACACATACTCCGTGCTAGGCGTCTCGGGAGGCGGTCCGTATGCGCTTTCCTGTGCCGCAAGGCTTCCACCCGAGAAGCTCAAGGCTGTTTCCATCATCTGCGGTCTGGGACCCCCCGACATGAGCATGTGGGACGCCGAGTGGACGCACTGGCTGGGGTTTCCGTACGGATGGCGCTATGCGCCCGCGTGGTTGCTAAACTGGTTTTTCCGCCGCGATGCGTTTGGCCGCATGGAGCTGAGCGATGAGGAGAGGTTCAGAGAGGTGGCTTCGCCGTCCAATCTTGCGGCTATCAAGAACCCGATGGATAAGAAGATTTTCGGTGATGAGGATTTCGTGAGATTGGAGTTGAAGGCTACGCGTGAAGCGAATGCGCAGGGTTTCGCTGGCATAGCGCTGGATGGGAGAACGGCATGTTCAGAGTGGGGCTTTCGGATTGAGGATATCAGGAGAGATTTACCTGTCCAGCTGTGGTATGGCAAGAATGACACGTTTGTTCCGCCGAATATTGGGCTGGAGACTGCTGCGAGGTTGGGTGGTAGTCAGGGCAGGGTTGTGCTGAGGTTGGAGCACGCTTCGCATTGTAGTATTTCGCGCAATTGGGAGAGGGAGCAGTTGGAAGCTATTCTGGAAGAGATGCGGGATTAGATGTTTAGCTGTGCTTTTCTTCGATCTGGGTGGGTTGGGAGTCGTTTGTATATACATCTTATCGTCTCGACTCTGATCTTAGCATTCTGTCTTTTCTTTAAGGCTGTATTTATCTTGTATAATAATATCCAGGGCAGGGACAACATGAAGACGCCAATGAATATAGTGATAGACACTGACATGGTGCCATCATTCCCAAGTTTCGTTCGCCCTCAACTTTTCGCTGGGCATTTCTCAGTGAGTCCAGTTATATTGGGCCAGGTCTAGTCTGGACATTCGGTATGTTGAAGTATATGCTCAGCTACCCGATCGGCAAGTGTATCATCTAGCCGAAGAGCACATGACTGTGTGGGCTGCGGTCCAGGTGCCAGGATGGGGCAGGGCCCACGACGGTTGGTTATCTCTTTTTCTATACCGATAGAGCCGACTGGCATGGCACAAGACCCTACATCTGCAAGATCAGGGATAGTTCCTTTTTGAGGGTTCAGACCAAAAGAGACTGATCCGTAAAAGAAAACATCAAATTTACGATCAGACGGAACTTCTCCCGTGCTTTCATTACATGCATATCTGATACCGAAGCTATAGCGCATAAACAAGTCTCGAGCCGTGGTGTTGAGGAATTCGTCGACCGTTTCAATAATGAGATATGAGTCCGGAGGCGGGAGCAGCTCTTCTTTGCCTGCAAGACCACGGACCCGCCCTCCAGAGGCGATGTCTTCTACAGGAGATCCATCAACGTCTATGATGCTCCAGTCCCAGTGAACTGTGTACGGCCATGTCGTAGAGCCATTGTGAAGACCAAAAACGACAGGAAATAGGTATACGGGTTTGTAGATTGTGTGGTTTCTTGGAAAGATAACGTCGAACTGCACAGTAGTGGGTAGCTGCGCCGCGCGGGCGAAGTCCACTGCGCAAAGGAGGCACAGCAACATGCCAGTATATTGGTTTGGAGACTCCATCTTGGGACGATGAGAGGGTTGTTGACCCAGGGGAGGGGAGGGCCAAAAGTGTGGATCTTTGTTAAACAACGATCAAACGGTCTTCCCGATAGAAATAGATAATAGGAATGCGCAAGGTCAACCGCGCCACATGGATGAGATTACCACGACTATATGCAGGCACGCGACATACAAATCTAAACATAACGGCCCCACGCTCTGCATATGGTCCAGTGCCAACTTCCGAGCATAAAGGTAATTATACGGTTGGTCCATTGTTAATAGAGTAGGAACCCGACGCTTAATTGCTGAGCGATACCGTCGAGCATCTATGGCTATGCAATCGTTTTAGTATGCTCTTCCCGTTACTCAAAACCTAATTCGTCCACATCTACAGGCTATGTACCTGCATACAGTGCCCAGCTAGAAAATCTTGGTGGGTGCCCGTTGAGTTGAAGGGAGATTGAACTGTGCCATTTGCACAGACTGCGACGTACCTAAGCAGTTTAACCTACCTCCGCTTCGCCACAACACCAAAAGTCGAGAACATAATCCCCAAGCTTCAAGACGCTAGGCGCTAGAAAGTACTTTATGAACGTCGACGGCTTGCGAACTTCCCCAACCAGACTTTCCATAGTATGCCATAGTGCGTACATCATGCCAAGTTGTTATTACACATTCCATAAAGGCCCAAAGCCAGTAAATTAGGAAGTACTTGCGACTAATCTTGCAAGTTTCATCAACGAAAAGGGACCCGACGGTATCGATTTGGACTGGTAGTATCCCGGAGCGCCTGATCTCCCAGGAATTACATCTGCTGACCCCGCTGGTGGCAACAACTATCTCGAGCTTCTCAAGCTACTCCGCAGTATCTACCTCGTAAGTGATATTACTTCTTACGGGAACGATATACTGATATGAAGGCACACAAGAGTCTCTTGATTGCGGCTCCAGCATCATTTGGTACCTAAAGTCATTCCCTATCGCTGAAATTCCAAAAGTAGTGGACTACATAGTCTACATGACCTATGATATTCATGGACGTGAGTGAAATCCCAACATAGCTATTATTGTTTCTTTCCAATTCATGTACAGTAGGATTACGGTATTCAATGGGCTAGCATCGGCTGTCCCAATGGCAATTGCTTGCGCTCATACGTCCAGTTGACTGAGACACTCAACTCACTATCAACGGCCACAGAGGCTGGAGTTCCTACTGGCAAACTAATCATTGGTTTTTCAAGCTATTATCGTTTCTTCCACAAGATAGATGCTTCCTGCACCCGACCGGACTGAAAATTCATCAGCCCGTAATCAGCTGCTACCATAAGGTGGCATATATGTCGGAAGCAACAGAGGCTAAGTGCACCAGTCTCTACAAAAGCCTCAATTCTGGCGGTACTGCTGCCTGAGTTTTTGACTTGACCAATTTATGCCAGCCTCTGGGGATGGTACCCAACACTCCTGCGCTGCCTTCAGAGGGTGAAGAATGGATGGACGTCGACTGTAGCCATAAACTAGCAAGCAATAAAACCGCCAACCCAATCACAAGATGGAATAAGCTCAAATGCAAAAGACGCATGGGAATCTACAATCAGTGCTTGCAAGAAAACAGTCACTAACTGTAAAAAAAACTCTTGTTTTCAGCATCTGTGAGCTCTCATCTCAATAGCCCACCGGATACGGAATGCGAACCAAAAAAGATAACACTTGCAAACAAAAAACGGATGCCCCGGCACGATAGAGTACAGAAGTGACCTTGGTAGGAAACCAACTGGATCTCTATTTCTGCGGCGTTTTATAAAAGGAAACAAGGTATGTATGTATGTGTACAACAGGGATGTCTGCTGCATAAGGCCACAACCAACTAACGTTAGAACAGCTCTACTCCAACTCCTAAAATGATGTAAGAAGTGCGGGCAACACATTCTACTCAATCACAAGTGACTTCTCGGAAACGATTTGCTCCGGAGCAACAAGCTGATGGATGAGTCCACGGTACTTGCTCTTCGCTTTCCTCGGAGCCGGGCTCGGCATGATCCGAGGACCTACATATATTCGAGAGAGAGAAGAAGAAGAAGAAGAAGAAGAGACCACACAAAATCTCGGGACCGCGAATAGATGAATAGCATAATATTCGCCCTATTCAAGAATGCAACTAATGCTACCCACAACAATAACAACAACGACAACAAACAACAGCAAAAATCGCCCACACGTCAAAAATAGGAAATCTAACCGATGCATGCTAACCACCAAGCCCCCCTAGCTACCCCTCTCTTTTCCGCCGCGCAAATCTAACGATGAAAAGCTGCTAAACGATAGCGAATTAATGATGCCCGTGTGTGTGTGAGAGTGAAAGAGGGAGAGAGAAAGAGAGAAAAAAAAAAGGAGGGGCGTGATATGGATGATGGGGTATGGAGAGAGATAGATAGATGGCAGGGGGATGCTAAAAGAGGGGCAAGAGGGTATACCTAAATGAAACACACACGCGTACACGCACATACAACGCCCGCAAACCAAAAATAGTCCAGTAAGGAAAAGGTGGGGTGGGGGGGATAAAAGATGGAAGGAAAAGAGAGGCTTGCTGTCTTGAGACACCAGATTGCGAGCGGCATCATTATCATTCTTGTAGTTGATGCGTAGGACATGCTCCTCTGCCTTTCTTGTCCCACCACTCTTTGATGCATGACTAAGCTTTGTTAGGAAAGGTCCCCAGTAGAGATGTAATTTTCCTTTCAGTCGAGAATCAGCACATACCTCGTGAAACTTGCACCAGCAAACCAGCCTTGCCATGCGATCTCCAGCTTCAAAATCTTCCAGACAGATGGTGCATTCCGCCTGCCTCCCCTCATCATCCACACAATCCTTCTCGGTTGCAATGTACGGGAACATGCCCCGCGCAGCATGGCTCATTCTGTTACTGGCCCCCTCACCGTTGCCTGCACTACTCATGCCACGGGTACGTTGGATGGGGAGGCTTGCAGATGTCTGTGGTGCAGGAACCGCTCTTGGTGCTGGAGAGGCGGAATGTAACGCGATACAGTCTTCAATATGCTGGGTGCGGTCCCTATCATCGCCATCAGGGCCCTTGGGCGGAAGCTCTTCTCCGCAGATGGGACATTCATCTTCCTCGGGTATCTGCCGTCTAGGCTGAGGCATCTGTGCGTACTGAGGTTGAAGTGGCTGAGGGATTGCGGTCGAAGTAGCTTGTCCAAACGGAGAGCCTGCAAAGGACGCAGCACCAAAGGTTGACCGATGGCGAGGACGACTGTTTACCATTGTTTGCGAGATGAGTGGGGCACGATGGTGTGGATGTTGCTGTTGAGCGGAAGGGGGGAGGGGAGGCAATCGGCGCTCTCCGATATTTGAGTTACCATTGTAGCTCACTCTTCTACTTGTGTTGCTGTCATTCGTAGAGTTGCGTTGCCCATAAATTTGCCCTTGCCCCGCAAAACGCGACGCATCATGAACGCTTGACGCAGACCTATGTGCGCGTGGATGCGGTGGGGGTGGCGGGGCATGAGTTGATCTGGGAGATGAAGAGTATTGTGGTGAGTACCTGGATTCGCGCCCAGAGGATGAATACTGCGGCGGCGGGCTAAAATTCGGATCGGGCACACAAGGGTTGCAAACGCGGACTTCTTCGCCCCCGCCTAGCGCTGGGTTGCGGAACGGGCCGAAAGTCGACATGGCATTCTCGTCATCTCCTGTCAGATCGATGAAGTTTGCTAGGGTCTCAGACGGCGGATGGACGATGAATTGGCGGGGTATGGTAATGCGATGTGGCGAGCAAGAAGCGCACACGACTCGTCCACACTTTCTGTTCACACCCGTTAGTATGAGCTGTACCACAGGTACCATTTTCACATGCTGCCAGCGCACATTTCACGCGTAGCCAACGCAGCTAGCAACGAATGGAACTGCAAACGTACCTGCAGTGGTGCCTCCTAAGAAGAAAAGTAAACGGTCTCTTGCACACTGGGCACTGTGTGACGTCGCTATCTGGCTGCCATGGGGGCAACACGATGTCGCTCTGCCTCCTCGCTGACGTAGTGTTTGTTTGCGGCGGGACAGGTGGAGTGGGTGGGAGTGCTCGTAATGAGGCAGGCGACGAATCCAGCATGATGGGGTCCGCACTCGTGCTCCCTGCATTCTCGGAGTGCGTCCGTATACTCGATGGCCGCCTCATGGGTGAGTCAGTCGCAGGTAGGCGTCGCTTGCGGTCAGAGCTGCGAGAAGACGACGAGTCAGTGCGCGGCAAGGGTCGGTTTGGCAGAGTATACCGCGAAGAGGATGCGATCATGCGGGCTTCGGAAGCGGTGGCGGGGTCGAATTCGCCGGTAGGTAGTTGCTGGTTAACGCCCGTTTCGCTACCATCTCTCAAGAAATCCATCCACGTTTCGCTGTCCTGTGCCAGGAAATGCGACGCTACCACTCCTTCAGAAGGATTTCGCGAACCGCCGCCCATGTATGTGTCCTGCTGTCCCTGCACAGCACTGCTTGCTCCGTCACCCCGACTCTCATGGGCATGTGAGTTGTGTGCCTGCGGTCTGCTCGGGCGCGAGACGGCGTTTGGAGACATGCCAACGGTACTGGCACGGGCTGAAGGGATAGGAGACGGGTCGTCGATGTGGGAAAGACGGTGGAGGTAGCACTATCGCAGCCGAAGGAGCCACTCACTGCTCATGTGATTGCGAAATGGAGGGATGGTGTCTACGTAGAGAAGGTCGGCCGGTTCACGGCGATGTACCGCCACCTCGTCGGTGCCCTTGACCTTGCTCGACCGCTAGTTGGTGTAGCGGGCAGTAGGGCTGCCCATTCCTATCAGCGCGTGCCCCCCCCCCCACACCCAGGCTAGACATGTTTACTCACCTATTGGTAGCGGAGCGTTGCGGTGAACAGGCACGGCGGAGGTGGGTGGATCCCTGCGCGTCGGGTCGGCCAGGGGAACTTGGACCGCTGTGTGTGCGCTCCTACACGGCGCATGTGGCTGCGGGTGCAGTCTCCAGGTGAAGACGGAGGGGTACGACTGTCGTGCTGGTCGGGCTCTGCAAGATGCGCGCCCAGGTCAGGCTGGAAGCGGTTCAGCTCGGCGAGCCAGGGCAGGCAGTGCGCGCATGCCCCCCAGCCATCGCTGCTATCGTTATCTTAGCGGTTTCACGCGATCATCTGCGCCACACCTAGCCTCTCGACGGAACAACCACGGGCCGGCCATCCGACCTTGGCTGCCCCTCGTTGGGCCCATGCCGTCTCGTAGCCACACGTCGTGACTGCGACTGAGGCGAATGCTTCGGAGAGATGAATTATTCGAGATTACCAGTATGCGTGCTAGCCACGCTAGCCACCTTCCACGCCCTACGTATGTATATAAATATGTCTAGACAGCTTGTGCGCCTGCAGAGCACACTGCTCGCATGATCCAGGAAACGCCCTTGAAACTCGCTTTTCGGAGAAACCATACAGCAAAGAAACTCGTAAATGCGCGTTCTGCGTTGACATGTATTACAAATAGGTTACCCTGGCTTCCAGCAATGCAAGTGAAAGAAAATGTCTAGGAAAGTGGCCATCATGTCCTGCGACTGTGCCTACTGTGCTGTGTACTGCCGCTGCGGCTGCGGTCCACAATCTCTGCAGATGCTTCAAGATGGCTTCCGGCGTCGTAGCCGTCAATTTGCACGCTGTCTGCCATCATGTGGTGCTGGACGTAGCCTGTGCTCAGAGGCCGCTCCGTCGCTGCGCCAATCGATGATGGCCCATCCAGCTCGCTCGCGCCGTCGTGACGAAATATGCTCGATGCAGCAGAGGGCCCAGATGACCGCTCGGGCGATGGCTCCGTGGATCCAAAGGGAAGGCGGATCGGCAGCCCACCAGAGCGACTGGGCTGCAAGTGGTGACTGTGCAGGGGAGACTGATATCTTGAGCCCGTCGGGTTTGCAATGTCCGCCACCGCCGGAAGCTGGTCCGCAACTTCGGAAGATACAGGTGACCTCGTCCTCCGAGAGTTTCGGCGCGGTACAGTAGGCGTGCGACTTGGAGGCCCTTGGGACTGTGTCATACGTGAAGCACGCGACCCAATTCTACTCGGCAGTTCAATTCCACCGAAACTCTCAATCGGACCCAAGGCGGGCGCGGTGGGCGAGACACGAGTCACTGGCTCAAACCGATCATCGTCCTCATCCTCGCTGCTTTCCGATTCGCTCTCGGAAGAGTTGCGTCTCCCACCACTCAAGGCGGCTGCCGACGCTACACCAAGATCTCCTGCTGCATCTTCATGCCGAGGAGTTGAGTCTGGACTGTCCCTGTAGGGTTCTTGTGATATTTCGGGCGAATCTGTGTCTTCCTCAACCGTCATCATCTGGGGTGGCATACGCGTACTCCTAACCACTTCAAATCCCTTGCCCTTCTCCTTCTTGCGTCCGCCAAACAGGTTGAGGCTCTTGAACCAGCCAGTAGCAGAAGAGACAGGCCCCATCGGGTCCGCCGGCCCAGTCTTTAACTTTCGCGTCGGTTGCGAGGACAAAGCAGGACCACGAAGACCGTAGTAAAAGTCCGATTCTCGGACAGAATAGTCGGTGGGTTTATTCCTCCGCTCGAGATTCGGGTCAGAGTCATCCCGGTTCAGTCGCAGATAAGCCGGAGCTGGCGTACCCGAGTTACGTGACGGGCCTTCACCCGCATTAATGGCTAGAATGTCAAAGTTATCCGAGTATGGATCATCCCCAACGTCAGAGCTTCGAGAGGCTTTTCCTGGTGCAGTGGCTGTCATCGAGTCCATTGTGCGCTTCCGGGGTCGTGGAGGGCGGTAGTATGGATCTGCAGCGTCCATTGCACCAAGGGTCGGCCGCCTCGAACTCCCACCTGAACTGCCACCCAGAAAGTTAAACGGTGTGGCGTTTTGCCCAGGTACTGGACTGACGTTTCCAAAGTCGCCCTGGCTGAACCCTTCGAAGCCTACACTTGCGCGTTGGCTATCTCGGTCATAGGGTGCATTCAAGAGGACGGCAGAACTGGCAGACACGCTCCGTGATCGGCTGCCCATTAGTTGAATGTTCTTGCTTTCGTCATGGGAAAGCATGACAGTATTCGAGCCGAGACTGCTGCGAGCGTGGCGATGGAGATTCCGTTTCGAAAGTTGCCTTTTTCCAAAAACAGCGGTAAGGCCGCCTCTTTGGTCCCCGCCTACGCCGGCGAGTCTTGCCGAGACTTCGATGATGGTTTGAAGAGCATTCAAGAAAAAGCCAAAGACTAACACAATGCCATGCAGCAGCAAAATGATGTATCCAATCCAGCCTTTGGAAGCCTCGTCGACGTCGAGAGAGGGCACAAATGCTACAGACAGTAGAACGCAAGTGAGTCGAACTGCCGAGAAGAAGGTGTGGTATGCGTTCATCGACGTGTTCGACTGGAATGGCCTAAAAGCGTGCAGGGTCAAGATTAGGATTACTTCACATATCGCAAGTATGACGATTTGGGCAATGCCTGAAGGCTGGATAGCGCCAATAGCGATACCACGTATGATGGTAAGCAACACGGGGATAAAGGCGAATGGCGCGGCGTCGTCCGAGTACGTGTTATAAAGAGGCCCATATGTCAAGACGGTGGGGAGATCATCGAACAAATGGGCTCGGGGACGTGTGGTGAAAATGAACCAGAAGATCCATGTAGCGACACCGGCGACGAGGATCAGCATGAGGACGCCTGTAACCACCACAGATGCTGGCGAGCGTGGGGCTACCACGAGCTGGAATAGCGACAAGGCTATGATGGGAAGCAGGAAGTAGTTGTAGATGATGCGAATGATGTTACCGGCCGTGAATGGCCAGTTCTTCCCGGTCAAATCACCGCCCTGCGTGTTGGTCAGCCAGCGCACAAGCCAGCGCGTGAAGAAACCTAGTTGAGTGAGCACAATGACACAGGCAATCAGGACAAGCAAGAAGATGGCCATGCATGCCCATATGTCACGCTCCTTGGTCAGCCCGACATACTGGCCGAGGCGGGTGAGGCCATATGTTCCGTTGACAAAATAGATGCCATCGACAAGACTTTGGGCCCCACTGCCGTCACTGACAAGGCTCTGGTTGAATAGGAGAAGCGACCAACTGGCCTGGCTGATGGCGGGCTGGAAGAAGCCCGGATAGTTGAGGCTAAGACTTCCCGCAAGAACGATGAACTGGATGTACTGCAGACAGTCCCCAAAGCCCGGGGTAACCAAGCGCAACAGGTCTTCATCGCGACCGTAGTTGCTTGTCGAACGAAAGATGTTGGAGGTTCCCCAGGGGCTACAGGTGGCGGCAAAGACAGTCGCAAGGCCCACGAGACCTAGTATGGCGGCGGGAAAGTAACGAAGGGAATCTGCGAGCGCGCTGCCGAGGTCTGGGGTGATGGTGGTGGAAACGCAACCCAGCGGGGTGGCATCGTTGTTTCCAGAAACGATGCGCAACGTCGAGGCCCAGGTGGAAAAGGAGTAGGAACTGCCAAAGTCGTGCGCTACCGTGATGGCTGGCAGGGTCCAGTACTCGCTCGCGTTGCCATTGAAAGCAGGTGATATTGGGCAGCTGGCGTTGGCAAGGGAATGACAGAAGCGGGCGGCCGGTGCGGTGTAGGCAGAGTAGGTCAGGACCTTGTTGTTCCAGAACAAAGTGGTGTAGTGTTTGTGGTTCTCGTTCAGGTCGACCAGTTTGCCAAATGTCTTGTTTGGATCTTTCCAGTTGTCGCTGTCCGGAGGAGGGTAGTCGCCAATGTCTGCTTGGCCAGAGACGTTGCCATAGATGGTGAGGTTCAGGCGGTATTGGGGACTAAAGTCGGCCCATACGTATGCAGGCGTGAAGCGGAGATATGGCGTTTGCTTGCCGTCGGCGAGGTAGATGCGAGTCAGGCAATCTTGGAAGTTGACGAAGACGGCGCTTGCGAGCGGCAGGAAGGAGAGAAGGGCGAGGGTGAGGACAAGGGGCGACAGCGTAGTGTTGGGTGTCATTCTCCCCGGCCGTGGTCTTGGCCTCGTCGGCGGTGGCGTGTGGGGGGGTCGTGAGGAGGGCACGTCGAACTGGCTGGGGTCAAGTTGCCGTGGTGCGCCGTCGCGCGGTATGCTAACGTGCATCATGACGTCCCCCTCTTCATGTTCGGCCTGCAGTGTGGTCCTCGGTGCGGACGCGGGGCTGGTGCTGGGTCGTCGATTGGCTTGGGCGGAGAAGGAAGGTGACGGACTGTATGCGCCGGGTGCGAAGGAGGCGGCTGGTGTAGTCGTCGAGGGGAGTCGGGCCAGCGCAAAGGGGAGTCGAGGGAGCTGAGGACAGTGGGCGTGAAATTGGTAGCAGGGGCGCGGGTAAGCGTGGAAGGGCAGGGCAGTGCAGTGGGTGAGGACACGCCGGTTGCGAGTGAAACAGGCGTCAGAGAAGGGTGCGGCAGTGAGCTGGCAGGGGCGACGGGCCCGGTGGCGATCAGTAGCAGCGGCGGAGCATGGGCAGGGGGGGTTGCAAATGGAATGGCAGGTATGGGAATGGCAAAGAGAAAGGAAATAAGGTGTGGTATAGCGAGCGTACGAAGCGAAGACGGGCGAGGATGGCTGGTTGGCGGAGCGAGCCAGGCAGGAGGAAGAATCTCCTGAGGCCAATGTTGGGCAGTGGGTGGGGGGTTGGGGGGTGCAGCGGAAGAGGGCAGAGCAGGGCGCGACGGGCAGGGCGCTAGCTTCGTATACGGTACACAGGAGGCTCCTTTCGGGATTGACTCGCTCGAGGGCGGGCGGCGAGCGCACAAGTGGCAGACGTGTGGGTGGATGCGTGCGAGGTCACTGTCGCGGCCGCTGCGCACGGCCAATCGTCATGTTGGCTCATGGCGCGGCCGCCAAGCAGGGCGCCATCCTCGCTCTTAGCAGCCGCGTGCTAAGTGTGTATCATCAAGCCACACGCATGCGCAACGTCATGGCAGCCATACACGGGCACGTATAGCCAGTCTACATGTACACATACACACACATGCGCCTGCGACAAGACGCCTGCCGGGCTGTATAGAAAGGCGCTCTTGCATGTCGCCTCGCCACGGCTGCCCTGTGATTGGACCCTGGAAATGTTTATTTAGTGCCAACCTCGGAATACGGAACAGCCACACCCACACCCGCACTCGGGCTCGCACACACAACACCACCTATCCCTCCCTCCTTCCAGCCAGCAGCACAACGGCCTTCCCGGGCACTCCTGCTGCCGACGAGGAGGCAGCTCGTATGCTAGGCCAGTGTCCGTGGCTGCGCTCCAGGCCATCATCACCATGGCCCTGCCTTGCAACCGTGGCGCAGCCGTTCACTAATTTTAGCCTCGCCGTCGATCGCTCGTTTCAAGGCCTGCCCTGCCTCGCCAGCGCCAGTGCTACGAGGCGAGACGCCCCAACGCTCCACCAGAAGACGCTGTCCCCCAGAAAATGTCGCAATGTCGCCATGTCGCCATGTCGCCAGCTGCGCTCCGCAGCCGCTGTTCTCCATATGTGCATAGATGCATGCATACGCCTGCACCCCCCCCCCTAGCCCCTGTGCTTCCGCTGCTGTCTGTCAGGGCGCCGCTGCTGCTATTGACTCGCCAACCTTGATGCCGCACTGTTTGGTTTCGTTCGCAGTGCTGTTCGTGCCTGTCCACTGCTCGGCTACGGCCAACTCGAGGATATCCATACATTGTGGTTATGCAGGCCGCAGGGGTTTGTTGGCAGGGGAAGCTGAGGTGGAGCAAGCATCCCAGCAGCCAGCACGTGCAACTGCTTAGAAATGGGGGGTAAGGTTTCTAGCCGCCAGTGAAAAATCCTAGCATTACTAACTACATATTATTAGTAAAGTAGGTACGCTAATAAGCTTTATTTTATTATATAGTACTAAGCTATACTTAGTTACTAGCTTACTATAGTGTTATAACCTAATATAGCTACTTATAGTAAACTTTACTTATGATTATATAATAAGCAACTATACTAATTTACTACTTTACTAAATTCTTACTACTACTCTTATCTTACTAGCTGATAGCTATTCTTTTAGTATTATTTCTAGTTAATTATCAAGTTTTTATAAAAACGCTAGTAAGAAATTAATATTTAAAGCTAGAGCTTAAAAAACTATAAGTTATATATAACTTTTATTACTCTTTGAGCTACTTAACTAGTTATTTTTAAGTATATAGTTATTTAACTTTCATATACTATAAGTTACTATAGTTAATGTTAAAATACTAAAAATCTTTAAGTATACTTTAGTAATACTTATTTAATTTTTTTAAGCTATTTCTATACTTTCTTCTAATTATAGTAAGCTAGAAAGTTTAAAATTTATAGCTTTATTTTACTGATACTTATATTTTGGTAAAGCGCTATATAGGCTATATATACTAGTAAGCTGTATAGCTTATTATTTTAGTATTTATAAGTATTATACTATATTCTTACTAATATTCTATACTACCACTTTAACTCTTCTTTATACTTTTCTTTTATCATAGTAAGCTAAGAGATTTTAAAATTATAGCTTTACTTACTGATACTTATATTGTAGTAAAGTGCTATATAGGGTATATATACTAGTAAGCTTTAAAGCTTATTATTTTAGTATTTATAAGTATTACGCTATATTTCTACCTATACTCTATACAACTACTTTAACTCTTTTTTATACTTTTTTAGCTTTTTTATTTACTTTTACCTTTTTCATAAAAAATTTTAAAAATTTTAGCTTTAGAATTCTTTTTTAGTCTTATATCTTAAGCTTAACGTTATATATCTGTATACTAACTTAGCTACTTTTTACTTTACTTTATATTTTATTATATAATTATTTTTCAGCTCTTTACTTATATTTATACTTCATTCTTATTACTATAATTTTCACTTTTTCTATATAACTAAGACCTTTTTTTATAAAATATCTATGATACTTTTATAAATACTAACTTTAAAGGTTTTCTTCTTTAGAAGAGCTAAGTACTTTCTTTTATATAAAAAGAAAGTATGTCTTTTATTTCTTTAAAATCCAAAAAAGCTACTTTAAAAATATAGGAAATAATAAAAATATACGTAAACCTTTTTTAAAAGTTGTATATTTAGGTTGTACCTTTTAATATATATATACTTAAACTTTATGTATTCTAACTTCTAACTAATTTCAAGAGAGCTTTGTTAATTTATAAGAGACTTAAGTTTAGATTAAATATATATAGGAGAAGCTAAGAAAGCTAAAAAGAAAGTATAAGAGTTAAATGATAAACTTCAAAGGACCTTAAGGTAAGAACGTAAGTACCTAAATACTCTCTTGTAGACTTTATATATTTTAATTTTTTACTCATTAACTTTCAGCTACTATTCTTTTATTTATAGCTATCTTATATATATGTTTTTACTTTGAATATTATTTTCTTTTTTTTGACTTTTTTTTTAATTTTTCTTTAATTTTTTTTTACCATTTTTCCTTTTTTTGGTTTTTTTAGTATCTATAAGTAGATATTATAAACTTCTCTATTTTGAAGTTTTATTTTTTTATGAATATAAAATCACTTCAATCTCTGGTTTTTATGAAAAGGTGTATATTAGTGTTATTATAATATTTTTAAAACAAACACTAGTACTACTAATCCTTTTTTCATTAATAGTTTCAAATACTAGCTATTCTTTTTAAGAAAAAGTTCGGTTATACTAGTACTTAAATAAGATTATATTATATACTAATCTAATATATCCTCTTTTAGTTATATATATAAAAATTTATTGATATTTTCACTTTAAAGTTTTTATTTATATTAGTTATAATATATATAACTATACTTCATATAAGTATTCTTCTACATGTATTTTCTGCAAAGTTTACTCATTTTATTGATAAATAGAATTCTTATAATATAATTTTCTTTTAAAATTTTTAAAAACATTAGATAACTATAATTATTTATAAATGGATATAAAAAGGCTTACGAAATATATACTAAAATAGAGTTAAGACTTTTATATATACGTTTAAAGTTAAGATACAAAGCTAATATCTTCAAAGTTTTAACTCTCTAACATGAAATAAATGCTTTTCTTAGCTTTACTTTTTACTAAGCTAGATTTCTTATATATCTTAATTTCTTAGAAATAGAAAAGTAAAAGATAAAGCTTATAATTTATAACTTCAAAGTATATAAAGCTTATAATTACTAAGCTTTTCTCTTAAGCTATAGGCTATTCAAATTATAAGAGAACTTATATAATTAAAAGTCAAAAAAGAGAGCCTTTTTTTATTTTTATTTTACTAATATTGATTTAAACAGTTTCATAATTACTAATAAAGTTATTTTTATCTTTTAAGAGTTACTAGTACTTTGACTTATAATATGAAATTATTTATATACTAAAAAAAGCGCGTAGTCTAACTAGAGCCGCAGAAAGAAACTTTACCCCCTATGCGCCAATTGTGCTTACGGTTCACACAAATTCCCACACTCCGGCACCGGGTTCTGCAGCATTACTAAGCCGCCCGCGGATTGATCACATGACAAGCATCCCCCATGTTGTCTCGTCGCTATGTACGTGCGTAGTAGTACCTAGTGCACTGGGCATCGCGAGCCGTCTTCCCATGTCTCTTATCAGTTGGCGCGCCTCTTTCGCCAATGGATCCCATGCACCCCACACATTCGCCCGTCTGTATGCACACAGCACCATGTTTTTATCGCACCACCCTGCGGCTTGGCATTCCCTCGCGTTTCCGCCGCCAAGGCCACCCACTTGACTCTGCACCCATCTCAAGCCGCATTGGGCAGGTCGTGATAGCACGACATGCGCCTCGCCAGGAACCCCGCCCGTATCAGCACTTCCAATGTCAACAAGGAAAAAACTCCAGCGTCTGCCCAGAACCCGGCTCAATTCAAGTCAAGCCAAGCCCTAGAAAGCTTCCTTGGCGCACGGTCAATAAGGAAGGTGCACACCGCAAGTGACCGCCTTGCAAACAACCGGCACCCAAAGCGTGACGCAGCCCCGAGACTCACCCTACATATAATGTGACATTGTGGCCATGGTAGCTCTTGGCACTGCCTTCTGCACCAGCGACATCTTGAACGGCTCCGGCTGCGAAGACGACCATGGCCATGAAGACTGCATTGGTGGCCGCCGGCCTGTTGCTGCAGTCCGCCCAGGCTATCACTGTTGAGTACGTGCGGGCTTACAAGTATGCAGTGAGACACTGACGTGGCTAGGGGATTACTTGCTGCTCCTCGTCGCAGTACTGGCATGCTCAGTCCCAAAGGAGTGAGTCGCTCGCTTAGACTCAATGTCTCAATACTAACCCCGCCCGCAGGACCGGGCATTGTTCTCAGAGACCAAATTCAACTGGACCACCGAAAAGGCTAGCACGGCTTGGTATTTCCTCGACACGGACACTGGTGACATTACCAAAGCTCCATTTGGAAGCGATGCCTCGGAAGTCGTTTGGGTTGGCGATACTGCGGAAAGCATCCTCTATCTAAATTCCACAAACGACCAAATTCCTGGCGGTGTTACGCTGTACACCGCTGACCTCAGCAAAGAAAACTTCGAGCCGACTCTGGTTGCATCCCTGCACGCCCCTCTTTCTGGTCTCAAAGCCGTAAAAACAAACTCTGGCATTAACTTTGTCGGCAATTGCCTTGCATATGAGAACAACGGATCCGCCTACAATCCCGAACTTGTCAGCAAGCCAAAGAGTTCCGGTCAGTTGTACGACTCCAACTTTGTGCGCCACTGGAACTACTACATCACGGCTGAACGCGTGGCCGTCTTTAGCGGTGTTCTGAGCGGCGGCAATGGCACGTATTTCTACAACGGAAAGCTCACAAATCTGCTTTCCGGGATGAACCACACCATCACCCGCCCTGAGAGCCCGGTCCAAGGCTCTTCCAGTGATCCGGGTGACTACGACCTATCTCCGGATGGCAGCATGGTGGCATTCCGTAGCAAGTCTCCAGATCTCCCCAAGGCAAACTATACCGCCAGCTATATTTATATTGTTCCGTTTGATGGCTCCGAGGTGGCCGTCCCAGTCAACGGCCCAGGCACTACTGCTCCCAAGACTGCCCAGGGTGCGTCTGGTGCCCCCGTCTGGTCGCATGACGGCAGCAAAGTGGCATACACCCAGCAAGATGGAATCTACTATGAATCCGACAGGTACAAACTGTACGTAGCAGAGATTGACGGAATGAACAGCCACGTCCGCTCCGTCGCAGAGGACTGGGATTCAAGCCCTACTGGACTCCAGTGGAGCCCAGATGATGCCGATCTCTTGGTGACTTCTGAACTACATGCTGCTGTTCGCTTGTGGCTAGTACCTCAAGATGCTGCCGCCGACTTCAAGCCAGTCAACTTCACTGGCCCTGACACCTATGTTTCCGACTTTGCCATTCTTCCTAGTGGAAGTGCATTCATATCCGCATCTGCTAGCTGGACGAGCCGCATGTTCTACAAGCAATATCCAGGTAAAGGCAAAGAAATACTGTTCACGGCTAATGAGGTCGACGCAGAGCTCAAAGGCCTGAAGCCTGACTCTGTCTCGAATTTCTGGATCACAAACGAGGATGGCGACGAGATACAGACTTTTGTCTTCTATCCCACTGATTTCGACCCCAGCAAGAAATACCCACTGGCTTTCATTATCCACGGCGGCCCACAGAGCTCTCTGGGGGACACGTGGAGTACGCGCTGGAACATGCGAACATGGGCTGATCAAGGTTTTGTCGTGACCAGCACCCAGTTCACAGGCACGCCGTCTTACAGCCAGGCCTTTACAGACAAGGTCAGTAGTCCCATACTTGGATTAAAATGTACGCTGACAAGCCTTGTAGATTCAAGCAAACTGGGCCGGTACCCCTTACAGGGATCTAGTGCAGGTCTTCGAGCATCTCCGCGACAACGTCGACTTTGTCGACACCGACCGCGCCATTGCCGCAGGCGCCTCATTCGGCTGCTACATGATCAACTGGATCCAGAGCCACGCGCTCGGCCGCGAATTCAAAGCCCTCGTGTGCCACGACGGCAAAGTCAACCAAGTCGGCTCCTACGCCACAGACGAAATCTGGTTCATCCAGCGCGACAACAACGGCACCGTCTGGGGAAACCGCGACAACTACGAACGCTGGGATCCCCTCATATCGTTTGGCAACGCTAGCACCCCGCAATTCATCGTCCACAACGATCTGGACTACCGTGTTGTGCAGGCAGAGGGTCTCCAGACCTTCAACATCCTGCAGACGCTGGGCGTGCCCTCGAGATTCTTGCATTTCCCCGATGAGGGCCATTGGGTCAACAACAGACAGAACAGTCTGCTTTGGCACACGCACATCTTCAACTGGATACGCTACTGGGTTGGGCTGGACAAGGAGCTCATTACGCATGGCGTTATCACGCAGTAGTAGGTATATTACGCAATGTACCAGGTTATCATGTCGTCTAAGTACCAATCAAAACCCAATTCATGACTGATGTTCGTTCGATGGCGCCACCAAGCCACCTCCAACCTTCTTAGAGAGAGGGAAAAAAAACTAAACATTGACTCTGCTTTACAACTAGACGCACGAGGCGATTTGAAATCAAGCAGGAATTAATCGCGATTCAGCATTCTGGTAGAAATGCACAAGTACACTACTTTACGTCGCGCAGTCTGAAGAGAGAGAAAGAGAGAGAGAGAGAGAGAAAAAAGAACATGATATATACACTTTTCTGAATCAAAACCACACACAAAAAAAACACGAACCAGAAATTCTACAATCTCAAAGCCTCGCCCTCTCCATCCGCATGGCAGGATGCCTCTTGTCAATGTCGGGCAATTTGCCACTCCATGTGCGTCCATTCTTCATAAAGACTCTCCGCCAATCCGTCGGGTTGAGCGGCGCCTGGTCCCACCTCCTAGCCCGCTTGCCGCTGACCTTGGCGCGTCTGTCATGTGCAATGCCACTGGCGGCGGCGACTTTTCTGCCGCGCTCGGCGCCAAAGTTGCTCGGAAGCGCCTGGCTGAACTCCTTGGCACTGACTTCGAGAAGGGCTTCCGTGTCGGCCTTGATGCGGTCGGCGAGAAGGCGGATCGAGGATTCGGCGCAGTGTGCGCCGTCGGCGCGGCGCTGCCAGTACTCGAGGAAGCGGTAGGCGTGGCCGAGCATCCCGCACATTGCGCCTGCCGAGTGTAGAAAGTGTCCGTTGCCGAATGAGTCGCCAGCGACAACACCGTTGGTCGCGATGCGGGAGTCGTACCCGATGCGCTCGACGAGGCTGAAGGGTTTGGGGCCGTAGATCATGCTTACGCGGCGGAGCTCGTCAGGCGGGATTTCGAGGACGAGCGAGGCTTGCGAGATGAAGTAGTCGTAGAGGAGGAGCTGGTAGGCGGCAAAGTACTCGGCCGAGTCTTTGCTTGTGGTTGGGCAGACGATGCCGCGCTCAGCAGGACATAGGGATATGTGTTCGGGTACCTCGACAATGACCCAGGCTACTCGTGGGTCGTTTTCGTGGCCAACGGCAATCTGTCGTACCCAGCTCTCGTTGCCATGCTGATCAAACTCTGAAGCAATGCGGCGCCGCAGACGTCCATCGACGAGAATGTTGAATTGGCCAGCGACAAAGTCGGCTTGAGCGACTTTTGGTCCTTGTCCGTCGCCATGGTCGACATCGACGTCGTGTTGTTGGAAGCCTAGCCTCTCGGCTTCGCGGCAATTGACGCCTGTGGCGATGCTGAAGAGTTCCGGAACGCCGAGATCGATGAAATCGCTTCCCGGTGTGCGGATGCGCTGGAGATCGTTATGGAATTGAACCTCGGTGACTTCCTCGATACGGATGTGTACTCGACCACAAGGAAGACGGACCATTCCGCTCCCATCCTGTACCACGCGATGTTTGGTGAACAGTCGGCATCGAGGTGTTCTTCCGGCTTTCAGGTCAATCCTCTCGAGTTGCTCGAGGTATCTGCGGAGAAGAAGCTGTACGGCGAAAGCGGCGGCTTGCCACGTCGATGGCCCATCAAGGACTTGATGCATATCAGTCCGGATCTTGCCGGCATCAGGCTCACTAGGAATAGTCGGTCCGGGCACACATGTTACGGTGCGATGTGGTTTTCCATCCTTCCATCGATCGTCAATGTATTCGATGTTGTGGATGTCTCCGACCATGTGGTTGCACTTGTCGTAGCCTTCAATGATTGCTCCTGGAATGATATCCCGAGACACGGTCCGAGTGGAATAGAACAAGTCGGCGAGGCTCAGCAACGAGCCGTCCAGTCTCTTTGGTGCGTTCTCGATGCCGTAGCGATCCCACATCATTTTGTCGATGAGTCCCAGCTGGTGGTACATGTCCTCGCGAATGTTCCAGTGTACGCCTAGAAAGGGGTCGCCACGGAGCTCAACACCGACCGCCCGTCGGCCCATGGCTATGGTCCATAACATGGCCAGCATGTTTGTGCCTCCAAGGCCAATAGCGACAAAGTCGGCATCTTTGACTCCTGTTAGTGTGGTGGAACAGCTGCCGCCGGGGGTTGTGACATTTTGAGTCCGTTGCTGCGCCAGGTACTGGGTTGTGGTATATGAGTTGTGGTTAGCGGAAGCCATGTCGGCGGTGGCCCGGATTTATTGATATCGAGGCTGATATAGGTGTATTAACATGCACAACTCTGCGGACAGGAAAAACAGGAAAGAGGGGGAACATGAAATACCAGGCTACCCCAGGTAGACGGCGTTCTCTTAGCAAAACTGGGAAACAGATGCTGAGGCGGGTATTGGCGCGAGGAATCCTTTGCCCAGCAAGTGCGAATCCTTCGCTGCACGGCGTTGCAGGGTTCCGTGATCGACGGGGTGCAGCGACTACCACGTCTGGAAATGCGTGTAGCAATGATAGGCACAGGATACGAAAGTATGTGGTTTTGTCGAAAAAGTGATTGGGCGCAGTGGAATGCCACGTTGGTAGTGCAGAAGCGGTGGAGCTGATTCGACCGAGTGTAGCTCGAGCTACGGAAAAGCAATACAAAGCGGCTAATGCTAGCGGCGTCTGGCGACATAGCGCCTTGCGTGGCATCCTACATGCAGCCCGTTCGAGATAAGTCGTGGTCGGATTGGGGGCAAACTAACCGCTCTGCTGGCCATGACAGTTCAGACGGTACCCACATGGCCCCATAAACGCGGTAAGCGACCTCAGAGGGCATCTTGTGCAGCGCACATGAACACGCACATCGGCAATTATGGAGCAATTTCCATTGGGCCAGCAGTGCAGCCTAGAGGGGCAATGTGGATGAGTAAAGGCTACGGCTCCGCATGTATGCAGTCGCAGATTACAGCTTGGTGCGTTGCGCTGTCAGACGCAGCGGCGGTGCACAAGCGGCGCCCGATAGCCGGCGGCAAAGCAGGGAGATCCGGCGTCTATTTGAGCTCGCCATCGGCGAGGCGACTGGTGAAGTGACTTCCAGGTGCTAGTGTGTGCTCGAGTTCGTGGGCATGGGCGAGGGTTGCTGTGTTTGGCGGGGGAAACGCGGTGGTGGCGGGTCCGCGCTGGCGCCATAGCCCGGGCGGCAGGACGGCCCGACACTAGGCTGCATCGGGCCTGGGGCGCCGTCTCGCCCCCAGGTCACGAGCACGAGGGTGAGTAGACCGTCCCGTCTTATGCAAGCATTATACTCTGGGCACTGCCCTTGCGCCGAGCGGATGGATACGCTGTGCCAACACTGACCGCTTCAAATCACCACAGCCTTTCCGCCCGCAACGCCTCCTACTGGTGGCCGACCCTGGCTTGCCGAGTGTGCTGACCTCGACCCTGAACCGCTGGCTAAGGCAGATACAGTGAAAGACTGACGCATTCCATCCGCATCTACGATCGCACTTCAGCCTTCTGAGTACCGAATCCACAGCCGACCTGATATCAATGCAACCGTACCCAAGCTTGCACGCCGTATGCTCTCCTCTGGCTAGATCCAACCAGCACCACACACCACGCCTCCACTGCATCTAGTGGGTGGAAATAAGCGAAGGAACCACCGTCCAGCAGAGAAATCCGCGTGTCTCCGACTGCTACCAATCGCATTCAAGCTCGCACCCTGCTTGGATGGCGAGACTATCGAAAGAGACGGCCTCTAGCAAGCTGCAAGGGTGTTGCAGAGCCGTTGCGTGACACTGGTTCGTGCAGAGCGGACGCTATGTGTCAACACATCCAGACCTTATCACTGCCAGACACAGTCACATGCCAAATGGGCGTGTAGACCCTGAGTTCCACCAGACGGCATTTTATCTGGTACCGCACTATGTTTCGAAATTCTCACATCATATCTGAGCCTGCTTTCTCCCCGGATAGGTCAGTTGAGTATTGCTGGGAAAGTGATGCCAAACTCCACAAGACCCTGAGAACTTGCACACAATACCACTGCAACAGTTTCGATATGGAAGCATTGCCTTTGACCATGGTACTACACAAAGTGATGAGGCTATCCCCTCATTGCGGGGGCCTCTTCATCACACATACAAGAAGCTATCCAGACGAGTCTCTGGGCCTCGAAGCCTCTCCTTCTCCTCCATCTCCCCCCTCACGGTATCTGTCCTAGTGGAGCGTGAAACATTCGCTAGGCACCATGGCCTCAACTACTCTTTTTGACACGATCAGTTTGCGAACCTTGATCGTCATCACAGTAGCACTGAGCTTTCTCTCTTACAGACTGTGGCAAATACGAGCCCGAAGAAAGGTACAACTCGCATTAACATTGACTCAAATATTCCAATTCACACTTCAAAGGAAGAAGATGCATTCGCAGCACGAATGGGATGCAGGCCATTGCCCCATGTAGCAACCAAATGGCCCTTGGGCCTGGATCTGCTGGTCCGAGCAGGTCGCCAAAACAAAGCTCAAACACTACTACAATTCTTCCTCGAAGTCATCGAGTCTTCTGGGATGACGCACGAGCAGCGCCTTCGTAAGCCATGTATCGTGGTGCGATACGCTGCAGTACTGACGATTGGCAGTGGGCCAAAAAGCGTTCAACACAGTCGAGCCCAGGAACATCGAGGCAATTCTGTCCACCCAATTTGAAGGTCAGCATATAAACCAGCACCACCCACGTACCATGTTCACGGCCGAGTTGACAGCAATGCAGACTTTGGTTTTGGGAAGCGCACCAACAACTTTGGCCCTTTACTGGGAAGCAGCATCTTCACGCAAGACGGCGAAGCCTGGAAGCATTCCCGAGCACTGATCCGTCCACAGCTAGCCGCGAACCGCGAGCAAAACTACGAGGTGATCAATAACGCAGTCGAAGACCTCATCCAGAGCATACAGGACAATGCCGTCGTCGATCTGCAGCCACTATTCTTCGAGCTATCCCTCAACACCACACTATACCTGCTATTCGGAAACACAATGGGCCAGTCGCGGAACGGAGAGAGCGCCGCAAAAGACAGCGAGTTTGCCGAAGCATTCCTCGTTGCACAGGAGTATCTGTCGCATCGCGGCCGCCTGGGAAACTACTACTGGCTTGCGAACCCGCCCAAGTTCCAGCGCGCGTGCAAGATAACGCATGATTTCATCGAGCAAGGCATACGAGGCGCCCTCGACAGCTCCAATGCATCGCCCCAAACTCCTGCTGAGACGGGCGAGAAAAAAGCCCGCACCTTCATCGATGCGCTGCTTCGCAAAACGCGAGACCACAAGTTCATCCGCGACCAGTGCGTCAGCGTGCTGCTAGCAGGCAGAGACACAACCGCCTGTTCGCTCTCCTGGATGTTCCGCCTGCTCGTGCGCCACCCCCAGGTCCTGGAGAAGCTTCGCGTAGAAATCGAGGCGACAATCGGCACTGGGAAAGAGGCGCCATGCCCCACGCGCACCATCCTGAAGCGCATGCCGTATCTGGATGCCGTGATCAAAGAAGTGCTTCGCCTGTACCCGATTGCACCCGTCAATGGACGTACGGCAGTGCGCACGACGACGCTCCCGGTTGGCGGAGGCCCCGATGGCCAAGCACCCTTCCTGGTGCGCAAAGGCGACGTCGTTGGGTATTTCGTCTACGCGATGCACCGGCGCAAAGACCTGTATGGCGCCGACGCGCTTGAGTTCCGGCCCGAGCGATGGGAAGACGGGACCTTGTTCCGCAAAATAGGGTATGGCTATCTTCCGTTCAATGGCGGGCCCCGCGTGTGCTTGGGGCAGGAGTATGCGCTGCTGATGCTGGGCTACACGGTCACGAGACTGATTCAAATGTTTCCGCACATGAGTCTGCCGCACGATGAGCCAATCGAGGAAATTGATCGTGAGAGACAGGCCCTGACGCTTGTGCTGGCGCCGGGTGATGGGTGTCGCGTTCACGTGCGGTCGTAGATAGAGAGCTGGGATGTTGTTGGGTCTTTTACAAGTCTAGACGGAGAACATGTTCTATATTAGTTGTTTCCAATAGTCGATTAACATACGTAATAATAATGAGTAGATATGAAATGGCACTCAGGGAAAGGCTGCTAAGAGGGGGCAAAGCACGAGACGATACTGGCATATTGACGTGTTTGCACGAGGGTTTGAATGTGAACAGACAAGAGTCGACAACTGTCGTTGAAAATTTGTTTATTATATTTTTTATATTTCGAAAGCATTGAGAGACTGGCATTCATATTGATCCCTGGAATTCGCAACCAGACAATCTTCCATGCCGTCTGCTCTGAGGGTATCGGTGCTTAACCTATGCATTATCAACATCAGCTCTACGCCTCATAGCTTCGAGCCCATACCATTGTAAGCAATGCACTCGATCTCGACGGGGACGCCCTTGGGCAGCTGCTTGACGGCGACACAGCTGCGTGCAGGTTTGTGGGGGAAGTACTGCTCAAAGACGCCGTTCATCTCGGCAAAGTGCGCCATGTCGTCGAGGAAGACGTTAACCTGAGACATGAGTTAGCACACGAGTCCCCTCGAGTTTCCCTCTCCATGAGCTAACTGCGCGCTCAAATCATGCGGGGTCCTTGCACAAGCTGAGGGTAACATGGAAATAGCAAAGGCCCTTGTGAAGACGCACCTTGACCACCCTGTCGAGGGAAACGCCCGCCTCGGTGAGGATACCCTTGATGTTCTCGCAGCACATCTTGGTCTTGTCCGCAATGCTGCCCTCAATCAGGTTGCCCTTTGTGTCGGCGGGGATCTGGCCCGAGACGAAGATGCTGGGGCCGGCGATGATGGCTTGAGACTACGGGACGCATCAGCATGAGCTTGGGCTGTGGACATGGCGATTTGGGCTCTCGTAGACGCGTCGTAGCGTGCATGTAGAATCAGGCTGTGAGGGAGAAACGTACGTAAGGTCCAGCAGCTACATTCATCCATTGTCAGCACCATTCCCCCCACTTTCCAACATTACAGACTACACAACTTACGAGGACACGCATTGGCGGTAAAGACGCTCTTGATACCCGACATGTTTCTAACCTGCTCTTGTGAAATTGCTCTGTTTCCAATTGGTAGTCGTAGTTGAGGTCGTGATCGAGGTAGCAAAGTCAAAGTTGTAGCTGTAGAGGTACTTTTGGCCGCAGAACCGATGAGGCGCCGAGAAAAAGCAACACGCTGTAACATGTGCATGGGGGCGGAAACACTTTATCTAAGTCTGGCAAAAGTAGGCTATCACCGGGCTTGATAGCCCAGTTGTTACGTAGTAGTTTGTTCGGTTCAATTCACCCGCACTCGCAGCTCACACGCCGTACGTACCAGGCGCGCGCTGTTGGGCCTATTACATCAGCAGGATAAGCTTGGGTGAGGGGCATCCGCATTGGTTGCTGGCGGCCGGCATCGGAACCAATGAGAAGCAACCCCACCTTCCTGATTCGCACGTTAGCGTGGGCACGTGCGGCAGCATGGAGGGGTAACGTGTGAGATTTTCTCGACCTGGGTAGGGGTTTTTGCGACGGGAAAAGCAAGAGCAGGGACGTTGGCAACGACATGGCCAGGTTGATAAGTAAGATGGGCATGTCTAGATTCTGATTGAAATGGTGCAGCGAGCAGAGACTATCGTCAACAATATGCACATGAGCGTGTAGTGGTATTTCCTCCCGTCATCTTCCCCCATGCAGGGCATATCTTCGTCGCCATGTACCCGTATGTCCCAAACTTTGACCAATGCCGTCCGTATGCAATGCGCCTGATGTATACTGCGTGATAGGTACTGTAACATGCAAGTTTCATGCACGAGCATCGAATCCCAACCGAAACTCGAGCTCCAAGAGCTGGGATGGCTCTCTCTTGTCCCAGCGTCTATTCTTGGGGTGCGAACAATAGCGTGTGCACCGGCGCGTCGAGCTTATCGCGGCCCTTCAAAAAGGGGACTTCGTCAATGAAAAGATAGCCAATGACGTTTCCACCGAGCTTCTTGACCAGTGTTCCCGCAGCACATGCAGAGCCGCCTGTGTGTTGTTGTTAGCGAGAATCGCGTACTAGGACTCATGCAGAGCCCAACAGCATCAACATACCAGTGGCAATGATGTCGTCAACAATCAGCACGTTCTGGCCGCTCTTGACCGCATCGGCCTGCATCTGGAAGAAATCGCTGCCGTATTCCTTCTCGTACTCTGCAGTCTCGCACGGGCCGGGCAACTTTCCCTTCTTGCGCACCGGCACAAAACTGGCGCCCATTCTCAAGGCTAGACTGGGACCAAACAGAAAACCACGCGCATCCAGTCCAACCACCACGTCAGGCTTGCCGGGGGCGCCGAATTGCGTCTCGACGGCAAGTTCCAGGCCGCGCAGCAGGTCCTCGTGTAGCGCCGGGCTCGCAAACAGGGGCATGATGTCTTCGAAGAGGACGCCGGGCTTGGGAAAATCATTGAACAGGCGGAGCGACGCCCTCAGCTTGGCTTTAAGACTGGCGAGTTCGGCGGTGGCGGAGGGACCGGTGGTGGTGAGCCGGCCTTGGGAGGAGCCATGGTCGTTGGACTCGAGGGTAGGGTCGGGCTGGTGTGCGGGGGGGTGCGCGGCGGTTGCGTCGGCTTGGAGGGGGGCGTTGGCAGGACTTGTTGCACTGGCGGGGAGGGGAGCAGACATTATGAAGGAAGGGGGGAGGGGGGCCCGAACAGATAAGTAGTAATCGGTGAGTCGTGTCTGGGGGGGGGTGGTGAGATAGGTCGGGTAAGGATGATGCGATACGGCCCGAGTCTGACAACATTACACTGCAGCAAGCCTTGACCACGCAACCCCCCTCCCCCCTCCACTACACACACACACACACACACACACACACCCCAACTCGGCGGCACCAACCTAGAAGCGAGCAGGCTTGTGGGAGAGAATCGAGGGCAAGGAGTGCACCGAGTGCCCAGCGCCAAAGACTGTGCTGAGCCGTCTGAGTCGGAGCAAGAAAAAAAAAGTTAGCCGTTCTGGCAGCCGGTCCGCGTACACACCAGCACACACAGGCCTTGGCCCTTGGAGCCACACCAGCAGCGCGCGCCGGCCAATCACCGGCGCCGCCCGGCAGCGTGGCGCCCCACACAGTCTAGCCCGTTCAGCGGCTCAGCACTGGCACCACACACCACCACACCACTCGACACCACACACACACACACACACATACCACACCACACCACACTACCACCGCGCTGCTCGGAATATCGACCGCCCGCTCTCCCTCTGCATCTCGCCCCGTCTCGCGCGCTGCCTCGTCCATGGCACTCGCACTCGCACTCGCACGCGCGCTGGCCGTCCCTCTCTCTCTCCAAGCACCCCCCGACGGCTGACTGGGCTCGCCGGGGGGGCGGCCAAGAGTCATGCTCGACTTCAGCAGGCGTCCCTCAACAGATTCGCTGCCTGGCCTCGTCCATGGATCCCATGGATTTGGCCATGTATATTATTGCCATGTGCTGCCGCCTGAGTCGCAATCTATTACATGATATGCGGCGTCACGTCGCTGTCAGCTTGTGCTCGCCTTGAGAGAGCGGCATGCTCGAGGGCCGCACAGAGTTCCCCACGTAATCCATGGCTGTAGCCCAAGGTAGCTAATGCCGCCTCCGGCGGTGAGGCGTTCTAGAAGGTCGAGCGGGAGGCTGGGGGGCAAGTGGGCGTGTGTGCGACGCTGGTTTGCAACCCTCGCACACTTATGACCCGGCTAGTTTCACATCTAAGCAGTGGCAGCTCTGCGCCCGCCCGATAGCGCCCAAGCACTGGCAAGCTGGCCTCAAGCCCTCGCAACGTCACCATTCACCCTCTCCCGCCCGCCCGCCGTGGCTCCATCGGAGCCATGCCGTCGCCTGGACAGCCACAGACAGCTTGACACTTGACGCGTCCTCGCATCCGCCAGCCCTCTGGTCCCCATACCACGTCGTGGCTTGCATATGCACATGCACGCAGCCCCAAAGCAGCCGTCCCGGATGCTAGCGCTCCCTCCTCAGCTTTCCAGGCCAAGCCTCACCGACACACTTGCCATGGGCCCCAGCAATTGCGCCATCGCCGCCCTATACACATGCCACCACCTTTGCTCGTACATATCATGAAACACTGAGCCCACGCCTGCCGTCTCTGACACAAACACGCCCGCTCCACCACGACCACATTTCCATGGCAATGCCCTTCCGTTTGTCCCGCAGCACGCTGCTCTACAAGCTCAGCAAAAAGGTGGGTATATATTTGCTTCATACGCCGCTTCAATGGCGGGGATTTCCGATGCAAGGCTAGAACGGTCCCAGTCCAAGTGCTCCAAGACATGCCTTTTCTTCTACACGTTTGCGTTCACCGACGCAGCAAAGCAGACTCAACCCCACACGTCCATGTTGTTCACAATGCATTCCTCGCCCGTCCTTTTCTTCAGAGACCCAACCACGTAGACCTTCTCGCCATACTCTTGCAGCCGCTCCATGGTCGTCCGCACGTTCTCCTGGCTGACTACAAGCACCATACCCAGACCCGTGTTGAAGGTTCTCGCAAATTCGGCGTGCTCCATTCGACCCGCTTTCTTCAACCACTTGAACACGTCTAGAACGGGCCATGCCTTTGCATCCAGTTCAGCACTAAGCGTCTCCGGCAACATGCGCGGGATGTTCTCGAGCAGCCCGCCGCCGGTAATGTGGGCCATACCCTTGATCAGGCCCCGCCGAGCTACAGCTAGCAACGGCTTGACGTAGATCTTAGTTGGCGTCAGGAGAGCTGTGCCTAAATTCTCACCGGAGCTCCAAGGGCAGCTATCAGAGTATGCCAGGCCCTGCGACTCAACGATCCGTCGAACAAGCGAGAACCCGTTGGAGTGGACCCCACTCGATCCAAGGCCCAACAAGACATCGCCTTCCGCCATGGACGCCGTGTCTGGCAATATCGTCGCGCCCTGCTTGATTGCTCCAATGGCCGCTCCGCCTGCGTCATACTCGCCCTTTTGGTAGATGCCAGGCATCTCTGCAGTCTCTCCACCTACGAGCGCGCATGCAGATTGCCGGCAGCCATTGGCAACTCCCTCAACAAACTTTGCTGCACCCTCCACATCGAGCTTACTGCACGCGTAATAGTCCAGGAACATGAGCGGCTCCGCTCCCTGAACGACCAGGTCGTTGACATTCATGGCCACAAGGTCAATGCCAACCGTGTCGTGCTTGCCCATCTCGAAAGCAATCTTGACCTTTGTGCCGATGCCATCGATAGCGCCCACGAGTATGGGTGCCTCTGTGTATCCAGCGGCTTGCAGGTCGAGCAGTCCGCCAAATCCGCCAATCTTGCCATCAGCTCCAGGCCGCTTTGTGCTGGCCGTCAGCGCCTTGATCTGCTTCACCAGCTGGTTGCCGGCATCGATGCTGACGCCAGACGATGCATATGTCAGGGCCTCGCCAGCTGGTTGTGATGTGTTTGCCGAACGCGTGACAATCGTGCCCTCTTCGGCTAGCTCAAGCAGCTTCCAATCGCATGTTATGCCCTCCTTCTTGAACTCCTGCAGCAGATGCTCTGCAATATTGTCAAAGTTCTCCGTAGCGAGGGCGAGTATCGTCGGGCCGGCACCGGAAAGGCAGATGCCCAGCAGACCGGGGTGTGACTGTGGCGTGACGGATTGCAATATCTCGGTTAGGCCAGGGATTAGGCCGCTACGATATGGCTGGTGGAACTTGTCTTGCATGGCCGTGTAGATCATGTCGGGGTCGGGTGTGGCTTGGCCGAGAGCGGTCGTGAGGACAGCCAGACGCTGCATGTTGAAAATGGCATCTTTCCTTGAATACATTTCGGGTAACACAGCACGTGCCTTTGCTGTCGACACTTCGAATTGTGGTATGACGCAGACACACTTGATGGTGGGCGACCAGTTAAACTTGGTGTAGTGCCCAATGTTCAGAGGAGGCTCGGGTGGGCGCAGACCAGTGTCTACGCCTCCTGCGGGCTGGGGCAGGACTTCGCTGAGCGGAATCTCGAGGCGCTCGGTATCCTCGGGTGAGAGTTCGTTCAGGTACGTGCCAACAAAGCCTCCGTAGAGGGCTGCTGCGACATTGTCGGGGTGGCGCTCTTCCATCAGGCAGTAGTCGAGCATGCGCGCCCTTGACAGCTTGAGGTTGCCTACTTCGTTGGCTATGTGTACGCCTGCCACAATGGCTGCGGCAGAGGAGCCTAAGCCTCGTCCCAAGGGTATCGGGTTCTTGACGTGTACGTGTGTCTCGGGGGGAAATTCGCGGATGCCATGGCAGCGGAGGACGTATACGGCCGTTCGCGTGATGAGGTTATCCTGGGCAACAAGAGGAACGTCTTCTGCGCCCACGCCTTCGTAAGTGACCTTGCAATTGAGCGTATGGTCGGACTTGTCCTTGTTGGTGACTGTAACCTCGACCTCGAGGTAAAGGTTGAGCGCAAGACCGATGACGTCGAAACCGGGGCCAATGTTGGCTGACGAGCAGGGCACCTTGATCAGAGTAGTCATGCTGGGCCAGAGAGCGCCTGAGGCCTGCCGAGGGTGTCTTGGATGGGCGTCGCAAAAAACGTGGGCGAGCACGAGGAATAAAAAAGATGGCGCGGGGCGCAAACGCCGACGCCGGTCGCGCGGGGCATCTCCGGCGGACTATTGCGCCACCCGTCGGAAATGGATTCGTGAACACTCTATCGAGAGAAAAAACCCTACTATTTCCTCCACTCTACTGTGGCAAACTAAGCTGTAGTTTTCCCTTGTTTATCTAATTCGAAGAGGTGCTAAGAGTCTGATGTATGCATAATTCTAGATCCCAAGAGCTGAGTACATAGAGTAACTTAATTGTGTTTAAATCCAGCCCAATCTTCAAGAGCTACTCTTACCACTTTCTTAGTATTACACTTCTATTGAAATTTCCCTTGTCTATAATATGCCGCCTCGCATGCACAAAGCCTAGCTCCCAGCCTTAGCACGAGATGTTTATATCACATCTACTCAAGACAACGAAGCCTCGCAGCAAAACGCAGTAGTTCCAGGAATGGGTGCTATTGTGTAATCTTGTTAGCTACTCAGCGTACCCTTTTAGTTAATCCAAACATACTGCAAGGTGTTTTAAGGTCAGGTTTATCACCAATGTCGCACTAGGTGGTTGTAGTTTAGCGATTAGTATTACCATAAGCTAGTAGAAGACTAACCGCCCAAACAGCAGTCTAGAGTAAATGTCAGTAGAACTCAAGGAAGCCTTTTGTACAGAGTACCTACAGTCCAGGCACAAGGTTGACGATTTCCCGTACCAATATAATGGCAGCGAGCGGAGATGGAAGGAACAAGGGTGATGAGTATTGTGAGAAAAGGAGTCGTCTTCATTGTGACAAGAATGTTGCAAACTACGAGTAACACAGGTTCAATGCAGTTGGGATAATCCTTTTTCTATCTACTTTATAGCTACTTGCTCCTTATTTAGCTAAGTTCTAATAGGTTTAGATGTCATAGGATCTATATAATTGTTGGGCAGATGACCCTACGGTCCGACTATTGCGGGAATTACTAGTCGGTAGCAGAATACACATACTAGTCAGAGGACAAGGTATCATTTCCGTTGTACAGGTATCATCGCAATCAGTCAATTGAGCTTCACTGGTATCGTGTTGCAATATTTTGACTAGAAACGTAGTAGCTATATCTACTAATAACATAGTAAGGAATCGAACAAACTCTTACTTCATATCAGTTTTACAGATAAGTTGAACAGAAAGGAGTGCGGAAATCTATTGCTCCGTCCTTGGCGAGCGGGGCCTTGGCATAGTTGAATGCCAAGGGCAGCGTATACCTTCTTTCTCGGTCAAATTATTGTTGGATGGATCAGCAATATGACTCACGTGGTTTACATGGAAGCTCAAATTACCAAGAGAAATTAAGCCTAATTAGCTGGATAGGTGGTAAAAGATATACTAGGAATCCCTATTTTAACCTAGCCGCCTATTTACGTGACAAACGCCAGAACTGCTAAAACTGCGTCACGGCTAGGACTGCCAAATCTGCTAGAACTCCTAGAAACGGCAAAAACAGAGTAGTAATGGCCAGCACGGCCAAAAAGACATGGCCAAAGCTGCACCACATTCCAGCACTGCCACAGGCTGTAGGAATGTTCATGGTCCGCCGTAGGCATCTACTGACGTACTTGGCAGAGCACCGCCACACATGTTCAGCCTCAGGCCCTAAGTACTGTCAGCCCCGCCCACCGCCTTGTCCAAAAACCTAATTCGGGATCGCACCTACGCTTGCTTGGGGATTCATCATTAGCACATCTGCTACTGATTCATGACATCAATATGTCTGCCCGTTGGTCTTCGTCGTCGAAGGGGGGCTGGGTCGCCCAAGACTCCAGGCATCAGCATGCCGAGCCTGGTCCGCAGCCATACACGTGTAAAGAACCAATTTGTGGCTGCCTTGCCTTCTTTTCCCCACCATATTGCGCCCTTATCGGAGTCACCTCAAGTGGCTTGTTGGTAGGCCTATCACTTCTGAATGCGTGGTAGGGAGGCCTCCGCTTGTAGCCTGGCACAGGCAGCAGCCTCACCGGTCGCATTGGTTACACGGCTTTTAGGCGAGGTGATTCAGCTTCAATTTCTGACTTCACCCACCTTCACTCCAGTCGCCCACTCTTGCCTATACCTCTATACAAGCATAGCTGTAGCGCGACCTTGGTCCAGACACATCACCACAACACGCTTCGGAAGATGGACCGGCAGAACAGAATCTGCCTACCCTTGTCTCCATCGGGATCCTCTACCTCGTCAGACACCGACAGTCCCATGATGAATAGAACAAAACACAAACAAGTCAACGGCACGAGCAAGCCAAATGGCCGGGTCAGTGTCGACAGTGATGAAGACGACGAGCCCTGCAACCCTGGAATGAAGAGTGGCTTGAAACACTTCTATTCTGGAAAAGAGGATAAGAAAGGGCGCTTCCAGTGGCAGGAGGAGATACCCGAGGATGTGGGCGACCCAGCCGAAAACGAGAAGACCGCAAAATGGGCACTGCTGGTGCGAAACGTCAAGGTGTATAATGACCCCCGCCGTGTACTGTCTATCCATTCCATCGTCGTGCAGAGCCCGCTTCTCAAAAAGCTCCTCGCCGGCGTATTGAAGAACTACCCTGGAGTGACCATTGGTCTGAATCGTCTGGAGTTTTCTGGGAAATTCGAGCCTCTGATTCATCGATGGTCGGAGTTGCAAGATGCTATTGCCAAGCTCAGCGATGCAACAGAAGAAAAGCGCACAACCAAGGTACATGCAGAGCTGCTCCAGAGCGTCCTGACAAAGGAGTTCAAGAACATGATCGATACCTCACAAGATATGAAGAGTAAGCGCGTCATGACCTACGAGCATCTCTGGACGCTTTTCCAACCGGGGTCGACCGTATTCGCGCGACAAGACGGCCAAGAAACAGCAATGGCTTTGGTGGAGACGGGCTATGGTCAGGATGCCAACGGCGTACCCTGCTTCTGGTTGACGTGCAAGCAAGTTGACTGGGATGGAGCAAAATTCGGGACTAACAAGACTAATCTGAAAATCACCACGTACAGTGGAACCCGCGCTATCACTTCGCTGCGTGTTTATCCCCTCGAATTCCATGCCGAGTGCGATAGTGTTCGCGCTCGCCTCATCGAGCGCGGAGCCAATGTTGAAGCTCTGGCTGGTGCAAACTATCGAGCTTACCAGGGTGTCGCATGGAGGAAAGGTCAGTTAGGAACGAGGGACAAGTACAACATCAAGGGTCGCATCGTCATCGATACGTACGGTTGGAATCGCTTTAACCCATCGCAATCGATTTCTGTCGCTCTCTTCACACAAAAGGAATCAACCCAGCATGTATCTCGGTCAGATGCAGACGCATACGACTCTGACGGCGACCAAGAAGAGGAAGAGGATCAATTCGAAATGGACGAGGAAGACGACAGTGGAATGCCCATTGATGGTGCTTTTGCGGACGAAGAAGAATTGACCAAGCAGGCACCTCTGACTTCGGAGCAGAAGCTTATTTGTTCACCCCTCCTCCGTGGGTACAGTCTCAAGAACAAACTTTGGTTGAACTTTTTTGTCAACTGCGTCAAGGATATCGAATGGCAGACTGATGCGTTCGACCGGCTGGTTCTACCCAAAAACCAAAAGGAATTGATTCTGGGCTTCACTGAGTCACAGCGCAAGTTCCGCGATACATTCGATGACGTTATCGAAGGCAAGGGCAAGGGCATGATTGTGTTACTCTGCGGTCCGCCAGGTGTTGGAAAGACTCTCACCAGCGAGTCGGTTGCAGAAGAGATGAAGGTTCCGCTCTACATGATGGGCGCAGGAGATCTTGGCTTTGATCCCAGAAGGTTGGAGAGCAATCTGCAAGACATTCTTGAAATGTGCAGCCGATGGAACGCCGTTCTCTTGCTCGACGAAGCAGACGTCTTCCTGGAGCAGCGCTCACTTCACGAACTCGAGCGCAATAAGCTCGTGTCCATCTTCCTTCGCGTCTTGGAATATTACGAAGGTACCATGTTCCTCACCACCAACCGTGTTGAGACGTTCGATCCAGCTTTCCAGTCGCGTATCCACATTTCTCTCGACTATCCTGGTCTCACGGTTGAGTCACGTAAGACTGTGTGGAAAAACTTCCTGGATTCGTCCACGCAGGAACATGCCATCACCAAGGCCCAGCTGAAGGAGCTTGCACGCATGGACCTCAATGGTCGCCAGATTAAGAACATTCTCAAGATAGCCAGGCTGCTCGCGAGTCGCAAGGGAGAAAAGCTGGACTACGACCACATCATCACTACAATGGACGTGACCCAACATCTCCACAACGAGACTCAGTTCAGTGAGCGGACCAAGGGTACTTTGTACGGATAGAGCACGCAATGACGCTTTTTTCACATTCATGGATCTACCATAACGTCTGGTTTGGGCTAGAATAACGGGTTGAGCGGATTTCATACATCTTCTGGCGTCTGGATACGGATAGGAGTCATGTGTTTTTTCTTTCAGAAGTCAGTATGAGACCACCATGTCCCACACTGACATCTACAGCGTATTTAGAATAACGAATGGCATATAATAGCTCACCACGATGCAAAGTGGTGGTTTGGCAGTCTCGTTGGTCTTCTACTGATATGCGTTTATAACCGACTTCCAGTATTACTTACTGCCGCTAGCGAGCGTGTTCGTCAATTCCATTCTTTTCAATCGCAGTCAATGATTGGCTAGTTTCATCCAAAGCCGCATTCAAGGCATATTGCAACATTCCCAATACCGCTCCCCACACTCAACATAGACGTTTGAATGGTGAATGCGTTGCCAGATAGGATTAGCTTGAAGTTGGTCCTGCCAATTTCACTGTCGTTGAAACATACAAACGCGCCCTCCTGCTACAAGTGGGGGTCTCTGTAGGTTACATTATTGAACTCACTTCAACCTTTTACCTCCTCCCCCTCAACCCAAACGCTCGAACCAAAGACGCAGTCAACCGACTCTGGAGAACATGAACGAACCTGATCGCGATATATTACTTGGGACACCCATCATGCAAGACCAATGTCAATGCAAACATCCCCAGTCTGAATTCTTGTCTGGCGCGATCGGTTGCACTGGTGAGGCTGGTGTAAGTGGCTTCTCGCAAAGTTTCCATAATAAGCTTTGGCTGATATCCTACAGTTCACTTATGAGGACAATATGGACGAGAATGAGCAAGATCCAGATATCGACGCGCCCTCAACATTCGGTCTACAAACGCCCCATATAATTGACGAGGATCTTTTCCAAGTGCCTGTATGTTACCTGTTGTTGATTCTGGGGCGGAGCGAGCTAATCTGATAATAGGGAGACAATGGAAAGCCTAGCATGTTCAACCAAAAGCTCTTCCAGTACCCAAGAGCGTCCCATGAGCTCCCCAATTCTCCTTCCAGCCAGAATGAGTTTTTGTACGCGTCTCCGGTGGGCAAAACTGTATCATCCAGCTTCAACCAGTACCCAGTCCCATCGATGCCAGACCCCTTCAACCACTCCTCCTCCACCGGTTACCGGTCTCAGTCCCGGTTTCAGCCCACGCGCACCCCATCAGCTGCAGATCGCCCTCTCCCATTCGGGGGATTTTACTTCCAAAACCTAACGCAAGCCAACGAATACCTCGGTCAGACAGTTTGGTTCCCTTCCATGGGCAGCTACGGGTTTCCACAAACGGATGCGCAGTACAGATTCTATCTCCAAAAGATTTGCCTGGCGCTCTCGAACACCGAAAAGGTCTGGGATGAGAAGACTGCACCATGGCAGTTTGAAAAGTTCATGCCGACGGGGGAGTGGACGGGTCCTGTGGATATCGAGGCCATCGCACACAACATACTATACACAGCGTTCAAAATCCACATTGGTGGCGTCACTAGTTTCGCTCAAAGGCTTTCGGTTGATTACATGTCGTTCAATTCCGAAGACATTGACTGCACCTTTACCCAGCGCATCCACTTCCTCGCTCTGCTGCTGGGACGTTCCAAGGCGGCGGCAGCAGACATCATGGCCAAGAACAACACGGAAAAGTACGTTGCGACACCCATTACCGCCTTGCGCACGTTTACGGTATTTGACGAGTTCTGGAAAACGTGCTCGCCCGTGGACAAGAAGCTCTGGCTCGAAGCTGCGCCGTATGCGGGATCGGGCGTGATGCATCCGCCAGAGGAGTTGCAGATCAAGCACGCTGCGGTAGCGCAGGCGCGTTATCAGAAAGCCTTGGAGCGCCAGAAGATGGCTATGATGTGCATCTCGCCTCCGAGTCCGTCGGGCAATGCCATTCCGGTGACGGGACACCATGAGGCAAGTCTGTTCCGTAAGCGGTCTTATACTGCAAGCTCAGGAACTCTGGATAGTCCTATGGCGAAGCATGCGAAGATTGGTGGAGAATGAGGCAAGCTACAAGCTGATTGCATTTGCTTGTCGCAGTCCTTGGTAGCAGCGAGCGTTCTCATGCGCCTATGTCACCATGGCTAGAGCGGGAAGAAGGGGTGAGGGGAGAAGATACGAGCTGAGCAGACATTGATGATACTTTAGCAACACCTGTCCCAGCTCCGGCTCTGGCTACGCTTGGCTATGCAGTCTTTGACATGGTCATATCCAGTCAAAAATTTCATTGCGATAGTATACTTGGACTTGGCGTTAGTACGGTCATGGTGGCTTTGCAGTCATCCATAATTGAATACTGTTTCTCGGATTCAATTGGCTGATACTTTTGTATATCAGCTTGCCCCTTTGCGAGTGACGTTGTTGGTTCTTTGTTCACTTAAGCGATGGCGTCGGAAGCGGAAGGCTTCGCAAGGGCTGCCCTAGGAGGAGCCGGAAACATCTACACTATGCCAGTAACTCGAGTCGCTATCGTAAATATTGGAAATACAACATACTCTAAATTAGCGTTGCAGATTTGCATTGGGTACCGGACATGAAATCAAGGTCATCTCCATTTACAGCAATTTGATGGCTGTGTCTTCTTGCGCGAAGGGCGTCGGCGTCGGCGTTGCGATGCGAGAGTGCGTCAGCCTCGAGATTTATCGACATCCTACTTTTGCTCTGTGAAGGTCAGGATTTCAATGACATCATAGCTCGAGGCGAGGGTGAAGGCGCCTTCCTTCGCTTTGCGTGCCCGAAATCTCAACGCAGCAAGCGCCCCTCGCTTCAACTTCTCCCCCCACTTCTGCGCTTCAACTGAACGCCCGCATACCAATCCTGGATATAGCCGGTGAAGCAGATACTACTGCAATTCTCGCGGTTAGAGTAGTGTCACTGGTGCGTGGCAACCTTGCTCTTGCCATTGCGCTGTAGCCTCACTGCTCGATTAGCCAACCTTGCCGGAACAACTTTGTCGCAAGAACATTTCGCCATCGAGAAGCGACACCACCACCAATGGCTCTGCAGCAGTGCAACTTTGTTGCCCCTTCCGCGAACATGCTGCCTGGCGAACTCGCAAGCACGCCCGACATCGACGCAGGCGATCATCAAAATCTCTTCGGGAATATGGAATCCAAATACCACGGCTCACATGAGATTCCTGGCCTCCATTCATATACTTTCAACTTCACGCCTTCATTCTCAAAGTCGCATACGAACTTCGTTCCACATCACCTTGGGCCCTTGCTTTTGCCCGCTGCGGTCAGCAACGCCTCTGAACTCAACTCTTGTGGAACAGAGTCTTATGTGAGCATTAATAAGAATAATTTGCAAGCCGTTGGTCAATATGCTTCGCCAATGCAAGTATCTGACTTCCAGTCAGCTGGCAACACAACACTTTTCGCGCCCGTCTCCTCAAAGCCTCTAGGTGCCAAAGCCAGCCGCCTTCCTTCGGCCAAGATTCCTAGAAAAGCGCCACTCAAAGCAAACTCCCGCCTACCGAACGTCCCACGCCAACGTACTGGACGGAAGGTTCCAAAGCCCAGACAACAACGATCCACCAGCAGACAAGAGACGCCAGTTGCTGCTCCAATTTCAGTACAAAAACGTCGCCGAGGTGCAAACAACAAGTGCAGGGGTTCTGGTAGGCGGAGTCTCGCCGCACTGCAGCAGGCGGAGGAAGAGAGGTTTGGAGGAAAAATGGAGGATGACCAGATAAATGATGGCAGCAAGGAAGCAGACGAGATAACGGGAAAGACAGAGAACCATGACAAGAATGCGAGCAACACCCACAGTGATACTGATGAGAGCCGCGAGTATGAACAGAGAATCGTGTGGAAAGAAACGCGCAGTCAAGCCATCAAGTCGAAGCAATCCGCACAAGAAACCTCGCTCTCTGACTCAAGCTTCTACCGCAAACGACGTCCAATCTATGATTACGAAGTGCCTCTAGAACTAGAGGGTATCCGCAAGGCTCTGGGTAAGAGACGAAGTCGCCATGATTTCCAAGGTACTATACTGACGAATACCCGTACTTTAGGTCCAGACGACTGGAACGAATATGTCTTCCTCATGGAATCCTTGTGGCTCCACAAAGTGAGTGCACACGAATTCGACCAGGGTGCCAAGCGGATATTCCACATGAGCAGCAACGGGATGCGCAAGAAGATGAATAGTATCATACTCATGAAGATGATTGTGCCGCGGATTGAAGAGATGCACAGTGATGTTGGGTCAGGCGAGTAACGTGGTGGGAGTTGGAGTGTGCATGGAGCTAGCATGTGTAGATCCCCGCGCTTGTGCTACCGCATTTGGGTATCGCCAATGGCTGGACTATTAGCTCAGGGTTCCTGGGGATATTCATCCTTGATAGAATACCCACAAAGATGATTGAACTGGTTTTGCAATATCAATGCCGAGCCCAAGACCTGCAGCAATGCCAGCATTTGAGCCTAAACATGGCTCCTTTTCCTACTGTATCCCAACTGTTTATTCCTGAAAAGGTTAGGCTTGGGCACCGGACTTTCGGATGAGTCTTTCCACACTGCGATGCTGCTCTGGAATAGGAATTCCAAGGTCCTTTATCCCCCTCTGCAGGGTGACAGTGGATGTTACAGCGTAGTAGGGAAACAATGAAGATTACAATGAGCTGTTTTGCACCCCAGTTTACACATGAACGTAGCCTATTGGTGAAGTTGGTATCGCAGCAGCACCAGCCCGTAGCAGAGACGGCGCTTAGCAGAGGTCTAAGAGTGAGAAGGAGAGACAGCTTGATTGCTGGGATGGCTAGAATGAACTAGGGTTTTTCCATTTTCTTTGCTGCTGGTGAGTGTCAATGTGAAATGAAGTTGTAATAGAGAAAGAAACTCGAGCAACTTGGGCAAGTCACACGACGTTGTTAAGACAGTATGATCGCTATATCGGGAAACAGAGCCTCGCTAGAGGGGAAGAGGATGTAGTGCTTATGTGCCAAGGCGGGAGTCGGAGGGGTGAGGTTATCTTGGATAAGCTTGAATTTGATAGGAGAGTACCGACTTGGCGGTAAGCAGTGCTTGTATACTTAGCGAGTTGACCAGATGACGAATTAGAAGTGATATGCTGTTAGTAGAGTAGAGTAGGCTATATTTTGAAGGTAGGGAAGCGGTCGGTAAGAAGTCGTTTGGGTGGCGGGTTTGGTGGCGAACTATTTTTTACCATGCTGTATGCTGATAGGGCTTCCACTAAAGCTGTATATGTAGTAGAGAACTTGATTGCTGAGACATGTTGGTTTTGGTTAAGATATTCAAGGTGGGATGCGGTGGGAGGATACGAGGTAGCCGTGGTAGCCGTGGTGTCCAAGTTGAATGTCATGTTGGTCTTTGTTATGCTTCTTAGTTTTGAGCGTGAATGTTTTGTATTGCGCGAATATTATACTTGAGTTTCAGCGCATGTGACAGCAATAGAGACATTATACCTTTCGTGTGAGGCTTTGGTCTAGCAAAAGTCAAGAGAAGTCGGAGATTTGGGGCTATTGATCTACATGCCGGATCGGGAGAACCATTACGGCGGTGATGCGCGTTTCATCTTCTTCAAAATCAGTAGAGTTGTAGAAGGCTACGACAGAGGGATCATACGGGCTGCTTTGTAAGGACGGATAGCCACATGTGGAGCGTTGATGTTGAGAATGGCTGCTTATTGCGCCCAATGTCGTTAATGCATTGGCAACATTTTTTTTGCGCTTGTGTTGGCGTGTCCTCGTGATAGCTTACTTTGGCATGATCGGCAGTATCGGTGAGCTGCGAGGGCTAGACGCGTTACTGGTTGTGGTATCGCAAAAGAAAATACGGCTAGAAGAAAAGTACTCAAAAGCCTAGTGGCTCAGGCCAAGTCGGCCATGGCCGAAACTCGTGGCGCGGGAAGGACGGATAGCAAGGAGGATGTGGAGGGGCTAGGAGAGAAGACTATCGAGGGCGAGAGCTGTAGCTATGAAGCTACCTGCTGGGGCCGAATGATTACTTTGTGGTCTCGTCCAAGTCGGGTAACCCGGAGGCGGTTGGGGCGCGCCCCAGGTGTGGGGTATCATCGTGGGCGTGGGCGGCTAACACTAGCAACGAGATCCACTTTGAACGAGAGCCTCACGGGTTTGACAACGCTGTCGCGCATGCCGGTGCCTGAGCTTCTAGAATTTGCCATGTGTGCAGCGGGGGTGCTGAGCACATGAGTAGCAGGTAGTAGAGTAGTGGGTAGATGTGAGGGCGGCTTGATCTGCATAATCTTTGCTGGGCCGCTGAGGCACAACCTGTTTTCTGGTCAGGCCCTTTTGCTTATGCGAAATACAAAGAGTCACGTTGCCAAGCACGTGAGCCGAAGTTTTCCCCACAAAACGGTGCTGGGCCTGACTCGCGGCGCACCCTCTCCAGTGCTGGGGACGAGACGTGGAGAAAAATTTGGAGATGTCTCCACCACAAACGAGCCTGTGTGTGTCCGTGCCGGGGGGCGCTGAGTCGGCAGTTGGACGTTATTGGGCCGGGCCTCGACACGGATCGCAGCTCCTGTCAACGTCTTGGGCTGTTGGGATGACAAGAGGAGTCAAGATGCCCAAGCCCTTGCCGCGCATACGCTATGTGGTTGGCTGGTCTTGTCGAGCCTTGCCACCATGTTGCTTGGTGATGCCGTCCATCGGTGTCGTCTACCCCGGCCTGGCAATGTTTCCGTTGTAGTAGGAGACGCGTCGTCAGCAGGGACATGCTGCGGCGGGCGGGTACCGCGCAACGGTATGGTGACCTGATGTTGACAGCATGTGGTGTGTTGGTACGGCGGGTAGAGTGCGGCTAAAAGGCCGTCTGGCAGCCTGGGGATGGGCGGCATGCTGCGAGGCTTGCTGCCAGGCTCACACACAACCCCTCCCTTCCCCTCGGCGGTCGCTTAAGCCCAGGCCGAGGAACAGGCGGGCCAAGGGCTGCTACAGAAGCAAGGGTGCTGATCGGACCAGTCAGAGGGCGTGTGGAAGCCGATTGTCCCTCTCTTGACAAGCCTCGAACCAAGATAACACCAAGCTCTCCCAGGACAAAAGACTGTGTGTGCCTTGGTTGGCGGGTGGGGACTGGCAGGGACTGGCAGGGACATGGCAGGCGTCTCGTGCGCGGCAGTGGGCGCGAGTCGATGATGGGTGTTGTAAGCTTACCGCAGCGGCGATGGCGGTGGTGGTGGTGGTGGTGCAAAGGCAGAGGCATCCTCACAATAAAGCATGTGGCGGCCGGGAAGGCAGCCGAGCAGCGTAGCATTGTGGCGTGGGCTAGCAGGGCACACGGTGAGGTCATGGGCGTCGGGAGGCGCGACGGGCAGGGTGCCAAGACGTCGCGAACAAGTGTAAGCGTGGCTAAGATAGCCGCCATCAGCTTTGCGGAGGCTTGCTCCATGGGGCCTTGCAGTGGAGATCCTCATGGACAACCTCCCTAGCGCAATCATACCCCTCCTCCCACAATGGCATCCCGTTGGCCGCCACGCCCTGTCCACACGGCTACTGGCCTCTGCCCTTCACCATCGGAGCCTGCTGCAGCTGCCGTGCGCCCTTGAGGCTCCACCCTCAGGCCTCCCTTCACTCGCTGCCTCGCCCAGATATATAACATCGCCGCCCTCAACCTCCACCGCCCCGCTCGCTCTCTGCTCCTCCCCCATTGCTTCTTTCCTCTGGATCCTGCCCATCAGCAGCATCCCGCCACCATGGACACCAAGGACAACGAGCCCGCCACCCACATCGAGAAGGACGCTCTCCCCAGCTCTGACAAGGAAGTATCCTACCCGCCCGAGAAGGAAGTCAGCTATGACCCCGTCACCGAGCACATTGGCGACACTGACGCCCGCCGCTCGTCGGTCGCCCACAACCTCGTCGAGAACCCTCTGGCCCGCCAGTCCAGGGAGGAGTGTGTCGCCGCCGCCGACGAGTGGGCAAGCAAGCATGGCCTCGAAGACAAGGCTGGCCTGTTCCGCAAAGCTGCTCTCGTCGCCCGCGACCCGGACCGCTTCGAGATGCTGACCGAGCTCGACGACGATGAGCGCAATGCTCTGATCTACGAGCGCGACCACAAGTGGCACGGCCCCACCATGTTGTGGTACGCCATCGGTCTATGTGCCATTGGAGCTGCCACGCAGGGCTGGGACCAAACGGGATCCAACGGCGCCAACTTGTCTTTCCCAGAGGAGTTTGGTCTCACCGGCAGCGAATGGGGCGAGTGGATCGTTGGACTGATCAACTCCATCATCTTCCTGACTGCTGGTCTCATTGGCGCTTTCATCGTCGACCCCCTCAACAAGTACCTTGGCCGCAGGGGTGAAATCTTCGTCACTGCCATCTGCCTGACTGTTACCCCCATTGGATCGGCTTGTGCGCAGTCATGGGAGGGCCTGTTCGCCGCTCGCTTCATCATGGGCATCGGTATCGGTGCAAAGAACGCCACTGTCCCCATCTACTCGGCTGAGATGGCTCCCCACCGAATTCGAGGCGCCCTCGTCATGTTCTGGCAGCTGTGGGTCGTCGTTGGTAAGATCAGCGCCTGTCTGACAATTGCATCCTCACTAACCACGGTGAATAGGTATTTTCCTGGGCTTCTGCGCCAACGTCATTGTCAAGGATACGGGCAGAATCTCATGGCGATTGCAGCTTGGATCAGCCTTCATTCCTTCTTTCATCCTCATGGTTGGCATCTACTTTTGCCCAGAGTACGTATTCCCTACTCGTCAATTCCACGCCGGACAAACACTGACTATTATCCAGGTCACCTCGATGGCTGATGAAGCACGGCAAGGTTGCCCAGGGCTATGACTCCATGAGGCGTCTGCGTGCGCATCCTATCATTGCCGCGCGTGACTACTACTACTCATATGTCATCTACGAGACCGAGCTGGCTGTTGCACGTGGAGCTGGTTACTTCGACCGCCTGTGGGACTGCTTCCGTGTACCCCGAATCAGGCGCGCCAACTACGGTGCTTCTACCGTCATGATTGCGCAACAGATGTGCGGAATCAACATCATAAGCTTCTACTCGTCGACAATTTTCAGCCAAGCCGGATACAGCAACGACCAGGCCTTGTACGCATCGCTCGGCTACGGTGCTATTCAAGTTGTCTTCACGATTCCCACTCTGTTTCTCATCGACACAAAGGGCCGCAGGACTCTTTGCATGTGGGTAAGTTGCATCAGAATTGTTCACGTCTTTTTTCCAGAACTGACAAACTCGTAGACTTTCCCTCTGATGTGTATCTTTTTGCTCGCAGCAGGCCTGTCCCTCCTTCAACCCGACACCGTGAGCAAAGCTGCCAAGATTGGCCCCGTCATCCTTTTCGTCTACCTCTTCACCATCTGCTACTCGCTCGGAGAAGGCCCCGTGGCGTTCCAGTACTCTGCCGAGGTTTTCCCCACGATCCAGCGTGAGCAGGGCATGGCCTGGGCTGTGTGCATCAACAACACGTTTGCCGGCGTCTTGTCGCTCACGTTCCCCCGCATGGTGTCAGTCATGAGCCAGACGGGTGCCTTTGGCTTCTACGCCGGCCTCAACCTGATAGCCTGGTTCATGATCTTCTGCTTTGTCCGCGAGACCAAGCAGCTGACGCTCGAAGAACTCGACCAGGTCTTCAGCGTCCCCACCAAGACCTTCCTGCACTACCAAATCACGGAGCAGGTGCCCTACTTCTTCAAGCACACGCTACTCCGCCAAAACGTCCCCGAGCCTCCGCCCATCATCGAGAAGACGCACGACACGCGCGCTGTCCCGACCGTCTAGATGTTTTCTGCATCAAGGCAGGGAGTGGGTATCAAGGATTTGCGTACATTGCACTCGACGTTTCCATGTGATTTGACATCATGAGAAACTCGTCTAGTTGCGTAGTGATAGTACCAATAATGTGAATGACTATATGAAAATTGTGCCTTTTTCGTGCTGTGTGATTGTTATTGAAGTCGTCGTTATTTCATCTCCCTACCGAAAGAACTCTGGAAATCATACGAAAAAGCTGATAGCCATTCGTGAGGTACTATATGTAATTCGTACTAATGTAGATTATTCAATCTCTACAATCATTCAGGGGAAAAAAAACCCCCCTACTAGTCACGTGTGCGGTAATTCTGTGTGTAAGGAAGCGAAATCCCACCCCCCCCCCCACGTTGCTGATTCCTACCAGTAATTCATTTCACGCACCCAGCCAAGCGCTATGATATCCCATATATAGTACTCGCCCACACAGGATTTCTCGTCCTAAATAAAGAAGCAGGAATACTGAGATAGACAGAATATAATACATGTACCCAATGACGAGGATTTAACATTACTCGACTTGTTCATGTCACACTTGTAATATATATATATATATATATATATCTCTTGGGAGACACGGGAGAGATACTAGACCTACATGAAAACTTGGCAGGATGAACTGCGTAATTAAGCCTGGAATTCATGGGGTTTACTTAGTTGTAGATAATAGCATGCGGGGGGAATAAAGTATTTGCATGTTAGTATTGTTATTGTTATTGTTATTCCCGCTACACATGCTTACGTGCTTTCTCTTGTGTAGTATGGATACTTGGTTACAAGGACATGGGGGGAGGGGAAGAAACTGAGTAGAGAAAAACACATACATACATACATACATACACATGGAACAAGTACGTAGACGTATACATGCACATGCACGCGAGCCAAGAAAAAAAAAACAAGATAAGCATTAACTAGTCTTCTTCCTATTGCTTGTTTTCATTTTTCATTTTTCTCTTTTGAAGAAAAAAAGCTTATCTTTTTTTTCCTTCTCCATCTACCGAGCAAAAAGAAAAGAAAAAAGGATTACATAGCTAGCATTGGAATGTTGAGAGTCCCTGCGAAAAGAAAAAAAGACCAAAAAGAGAGAGAGAGAGAGAGACAGAGACAGAACGTGAGATTCCGCCAAACAATCATCAAAAGGCATACGATAGCAATACATATGTTGGTTGTTTTCCTCCACACCCTTCCGATACTATACTTGAATTTTTTTTTCTAGGCTCATAACTACTACGAAGCTTGACCAGCGCTATCCATGCTTTTCCTATGGGGCATACCGTACTTGTTCTGGTTGTTGGTGTTGTTCACCGACGTGTTGTCTGGCTTGCGGACACCGGCATTGATGGGACCGCTGGACATGGAGCCGTTTCTGTTGCTGTTTACATGGGGGTGCATATTAGGCGTCTGGGTAGGGGCCGCCATGTTTGTGTTTGTAGTGTTTGTGTTGACGGGATTTCCATGCATGTTGATGGCAGTGTTGTGCATGCTTGGGCCAGCCATGTTGGCGTGCATGTTGTTGCGATTCATGGCCATTGGGAGGCCGTTTGGCATTCCGCCTTGCATGCTGGTAGTGTCCATGGTTGGTCCTATGGCTGCCATGGGGCCTTCGATTCGGGGTCTGGGGCCTTCGTCGCCATTGTCGTCAATGGCGGGCCAAAAGCGCTCGGCCAGCCAGCATATCTGGCGGAAGACTTCTTCACAGCGCGCCATTTCCTCCTTGCCATCGCGTGTGGTTGTGATGTTGGCTAGTTCGTCGACTAGCGCGCGGGTTGCGTCGAGAAACTTGCTCGAGGCAGGCGAAGTCCAGTTGGGTATCAGGACTTGGTGGAGGGCGATGATGTGAGAGTCGCTGGCGGACGTGGGGAGGGCGCTAGTAAAGGTGGCTGCGTATTGCCACGCCGAACGATAGCACTGTGAGGGGTTAGTTTGTGCAGAGCGTTGTGGTGGCGCGTGCGAACGTACATGCTCAGTCCCCCAAAGGGCAACCATGCCCTCGAGCAGCGACGCGCTTGAGCTGGTTGCATTGACAAACAAGTCCATGAGGGCGCGCGTGATTGGGTTGGGCGGCTCTGTGCCCAGCGCCAGGCCGTACTTGGTGGCGGTGATTTCAAAGAACTGCATCTCGCGGCGCATGTTGTTCAGGGCCGAGATCAAGAGGTCCATGGTGCGGTACATGGGGTGGAACTGCGAGTTTGGCGTCTGGGGCAGCCGTATCTTGGCCAGCAGCTGGCCGACGAAGCGTATGTATCCGCGCGCATAGTGGCCGTCTTGCACCAGCCACTGCGACAGCGGCTCTGCGGCGAGGGAGCCGCAGCCGGCATGCGACAGGAAGGGTCGTTGGGTGGCCTGGCGGAAGGGCGCAGCGCACGTGTTGAGCAGATGCGAAGTCAGCGAGGGCGTGACGGGGGCCGCCGGGGCAAGGACGGGGGCAATGGGCTGGCCGTCGCGGGCGCGCTTGCTGGCGTTGGGGCCGCGGCGCTGGACCTGGAGGTTGGGGTTTGGCTGCTGTCCGCTCAGTATCGGACTGGGCCCGGCGGCGGTGCTGCCATCGACGGGCGTGCCGTCCTGCTGCTGGGCGAGGACATGGGCTTGGGCGTCGGACGAGGCAAGGTAGGCCTGGCAGTCCTGCAGGTGCTCGATCTGGCGCGTCGTGTTCTTTGCGCGCACGAAGCCGCAATGCCGGCAGCGCACCTTGTTGCACTTGGAGGGCGTGTCTTGGTCCTGGAACTCTGCAAAGGCACGTCGGATGTCCGGGTTGGCATGTCTGCCCATTGCGGCCTGCCATGTGTCGAGGTTAGCCTGATGGCAGCGTCATTCGGCGTGTGGGCGAGGCAGGTCGCAGCGCATGCGAGTCGAGCCCGCCGGACAGGCTGGCACACGCAAAGGACGCGAAGGCATGCGGGACGAGTGGAGCTCACCTCGAATCAGGCTGTCTCGCCAGCAGGTGTATCGTGTATTGTACAGTACGTACTGTAACAATGGCAGATACGGTATCGCCCCTCGCCCAAAGTCTACTAAGCCCGTCTCAGCCGCCTTACCTCAGCGCCGCCGCCTGGCCTTGGCCCCCAGCCTTTTTGGCCGCGCCCGACTCGCACCGCCATGGAGCCTGGCCTGCGTGTGCGCGCATGCGGCGCCATGCGAGCGCATACATGTCCATGTCCATGTACACACCCAGCGAGCCCGTCGCCTGCACATGCGACGCCTGTTTCCCCGCCGGCACTGGCGCGCGCAGCGCATCGTGCGTGGTGAGCATGTGGTGGGGGCGCCCTTTGCATTAGTCACCATGTTCTGTTCTTTTGCGTGTCGGCAGCCCGCGAAACATTTCGGCCGTTTTGATCGGCCGTGCGCTGGGTAAACAATCGGCTGCCCGTGCAACACCACGCAACACCAGCACGCCTCGAGACGACGATAAAACGAAGAGCGGCCAGCGTCACGTGCTTTTGCTCGCATCCACATGGCATCGCCGAGGCGGCGCGGTTGAGCGTCAGGAGAGGCGTCCATGGTCAGGATACCGTCACTACGCCGTGCCTGTCTACACCTTGACCAAGCTGCTCACCGACATGTTGTTATACATGCGCCGTCGCGACCACGAACCAGACTTGAGACCACCACATGGTCGACTTCCCCACAAACACAGGGGGCAGGCCACCGGCCCTTGCCCGGATACAGCGACGTGGACCGCTTGGGCATGTCGACAAGACCCATCGTGACTGAGCATAGCGGGTTGCTCGTTCCGACAGAGAGGCATGGCCTGAGGCCAATGACGGCAGGCCGACGCTCCTCGGACGCAGACACGTGGCCACGTGAGAGGGTGCATGTTCCGCTAGCAGCGACGGACGAAGGCTCTTGCGATCACAAGCCAGTGGTTATGACGCCCTCGTTGGCCCAAGACGCCGACGGATAGAAGCGCTAGAAGGGGCCTGGTGCATGTCCCCCACAAACCACGTACCAAGCTTTCGAGATCGCACGCCGTCGCACGTTTATTCCCGCCGAACTAGGCCGCAGCCAAGGTGCATATGCATTCGCCCTGTCCGGTGCTTGGTGACGGCTCTCGTGACACGCAGAAAGAGTAGTAGTTGGAGTAGTAGCACTAGTCGTCGGAGTAGTAGTAGCAGTAGTAGTAGTCGTGGTAGTAGTCGTGGGTACACTGCGCGCAATGGAACTGGTGGGGTCCTGGTGACGACGTTGCCGCGGCGGCGGTCTGGCAGGCTGTCCAAGTGCTGGTGCAGTGCTCCTGTTTCTTCAACCGAGACGACGAGCGCAGTGTGCAACTGCATGGGGCAAAGATCAGACTGTAGGCGAAAGAGGGGTTGAGTCAGTAATAGTAGGGTGTCGTGCACATCATGTGCCGACCACGACGCCCAATGCTGACCCTGGCCGGCCGGGCAGGCAGCGGTGCAGGGAGAGAGGAAATGCATGACAGTGCACGAGCAGCAGCAGCAGCAGCGAAACGGGGGCAGGGTGCATTGGTGGGTGAAGGAGAGTGTCCAAAGTACGGTACCAGAGTATGTATAGCGCAAGCATGTCGGCGATGCCTCCGGGGAGGGCGGCTTGTAACATACATGGCAAGCCTGCACTTGGACTTGGACTTGCTCGACGGGTGTCGGACATGGCCTCTGCAGCCCCGTGAGCAGCGCTTCGGCATCTAACTGGCTGCGGCCTGCCGATCTCCACATCATCGCCGCCGGACCCTGGCCCAATCAGCGCCCTGTACCTGAGGGTCGCCTTAGTCTTCACACACCCCCGGCCAGTCTCTCACTCTGCCTCCACCCACACCTCTCTGCGCCTCTCCTCCTGATTCCACCTGACCCCAGATCTTTGCTCGACCATTAAGCCTGGCCGAGACCTTGGGCTCCATTTTCCCGCAGCTTGCGTGCGCGACAGCTTCCCCGTCGGGCTAGGCGCGCCCCAGTCTCTCCTTTCTCTTTCCAAGCCGTTGCGTCACCACCTCACTTGGCAACTCAGTGTCCGGCTCTCGAGGGGGCGACTATGTACATCTTGTCCCGGCCCGTCCAGTGTGTCATTTGTCGGCTGAACCGCGGTTGGTCATCTCGGCACGCCTCGTTCGACACCGCTCTGTTGGTCTTCAGCATAGTTGGTCCCGCTAGCTAGGATGGGCCTACCACCGTCTGAGGATCACCGCGCCCTTTGCGAAGGAGTAGCAACCGCATGTCCGCTGCGTGACTATGACAGGCGAGAAAACCGGGGCGAGTTTGCTTGCTATTGCTGGTGCTGGCGTGGGCATGGCCTTGCCCGTCTCTGCCACGACAAGATTTAAAGGCCACGGCATTCCCAGGTCCATGGGCTCTGTCCAACTCGCAACTTGAGCAACACCAGCCAACCAGCCTTCTCCTGGTATCCCGCTCTCTGTTGCAAGCACATCCTCTGCTGTTTTGGGCTAGTCGACGTATTGCCTTTCTCTTGTCATCATGATTGGCCAATGGACCAGAGCAGCGGCCATGGGCCTGCTGCTGGCCATCAGCACAAACGCCTCCCCACTCGAGGCCATACGCCGGGCGGAGAACGGCTATCAAGCACCGCGGTTTAATTACAACGGCGAAAAGGTCCGCGGTGTCAACACTGGTGGCTGGTTCGTCCTGGAGCCGTGGATTACGCCCAGCCTGTTCGAGGGCAACACTGCAGTCGACGAGTACACGCTCGCCGGCGCCATGGGCAAGGACGCTGCGCAGGCCATGCTGCAGAAACACTGGGATACGTGGTACACGCAGGACGACTTCCACCAGATGGCCGCTGCTGGCCTCAACCACGTCCGCATTCCCATTGGCTGGTGGAGTGTCCTTCCCCAAGACGGGTCTCCCTACATTACCGGAGCCTATAACAAGCTCGGCGAAGCACTCGATTGGGCTCAGAGCGCAGGACTCAAGGTCATGATTGATCTTCACGGGGCCCCCTTGTCGCAAAACGGCTTTGACAACTCGGGCAAACGTGGCTCGGTCGACTGGACCCAAGGCGACTCGGTCGACTACACGATCAAAGTGTTGAACAAGATCCGCGACGACCACGCGTCCCACGCTGCTGTGGCCGCAATTGAGCTACTCAACGAGCCCCTGGGCCCGGCACTGAACATGGACACTGTGCGCCAGTTCTACATGAATGGCTGGGGCAACCTCAAGAGCTCGGGTGTTGCTGTGACGTTCCACGATGCCTTTGAGGGCGTCACGTCGTGGAACAACTGGGGCAGCGGCATGTGGAACCTGCTCATCGACACTCACCACTACCAAATCTTTGACAACTCAGCCGTGGCCATGAGCATCGACGACCATGTCAAGACGGCGTGCGCGTTTGGTGGGCAGATGGCGTCGACTGGCAAGTGGACGGTTGCGGGCGAGTGGACTGGAGCGCTGACCGACTGCGCAAAGTGGCTCAACGGCAAGGGCAAAGGCGCGCGCTACGATGGCAGCCTGGACGGAAGCTCGTACGTGGGCAGCTGTGCCGGCAAGTCGACTGGCACTGTCGCCAACCTGTCGGATGGAGACAAGACCAATATCAGGCGCTTCATCGAGGCGCAGCTGGATGGGTTTGAAAAGACGACGGGCTGGATCTTCTGGACATGGAAGACAGAGGCTGCGCCCGAGTGGGATATGCAGCAGCTCTTGGCCAACGGCGTGTTCCCTAAGCCAGTGACGGCGCGCAAATGTAAGTGACCCCGCGGGTTATGCGACGTTTTGGATTGTGTGAGCATGCAGCTGACAAGCACGCAGACCCTGGCCAGTGTGGCTAAGCATTTTGACGTTTTTTCATGCACTGGGCTCTTGACAATTTTCCTACTCTTTTCTCCTTTTTTTTTCCTTCTTTCCGGTTCCATGATGACATGCACATCACGCTCGCTCCACCAGCGCGACTATTGTACGCGCACGACGACGCACCGATTAGGATGACGAGGTTACGAATCTCATTCCGTGTCGAACATGTCCCGAAGCATTTGCGCGGGTGTCCGGGGCCCCGCTTCGCAGGGCACCATGGATGCATGTACGGGTGGATGTTAGCAGGCGGTGGTGGCGAGGCGGCGTCGGGGCATCGTATGTATATATGAGACGCAAAAACGATAGTATAGCCGACGCGAATACATGAGCAGATGCAAGCTGAAACCCACGGTCAGATTCGAGTGTCGCAGTGTGGAGTCGCAGAGTGAAATTTGTTCTGGCGGATGGTCTGGGGTTGTTGGAGGGCGGGCGGCGGTAATTTGCGGGCTTATTGCTTGGTGGGCGCACTAAGCAGCCTCGCCGCAGGCCTCGCTTGGCACCGCCGCTGCAGCTGAGCAGGAGCCTGAGGGCGTGTGTATCCCCTTTTGCGAGAGCGACGCACGGGGCCGTGGTGGCGTTATTCTCGGCCGCCCATGCGACTTGTACCTGAAGCTAACCGGCTAGGCTCAAGACGGGCGACAAGTCCATCTCTGCCTCGCCTCGACGACGGTGTGCCTGACAGCGCGACGCCGGCCATGGACCGACGGGGGGAGGCCTACATGTGTGTGGCGTGGGCGAGCAGCACACGGCGGGCGCGGCGCGACACGGCGGCCATGTACTATACACCTGTTTGTTTGTTTGCATGCGCGCATGCATCGAGGCGGCCGAGCCATCGTCGTCGTATGGCCTACGTACGTTCGCTCATCTCCCGTCCCTCGCGCGCGCAGGCTGACCCGCCCGCCGCCATCGTCAGGCGTCCTCCTCGGCCAGGCGCTCGACAGCCCCCAATAATGGCGAGAAAGCGGCCGTGCCAGGCCTCCTGAAAGCACACAATACGAGCATGCCGCAATCTCGTCGCGCGCGGCCATTGGCCGGGGCGGGCGAAGCGCGGTGCTTTGGGGGCTAGCGGGACGGTGCAGCAACAAAGGGGAGCTCCCAATCTCGACGTCAGCGCTAGCCGCGCCCGCATCCCTGCTCGCGACCGTTTAGCCTGCTCCTGCATAAGAATCCTTATGCCGCGCCCCAGCCGTCTCTTGTCCTCCCTCCCTCGCACCCAGTCCAGTTTCAGTATATTACTGCCCTGCCTTCAGAAGACGTTTGTTCTTCAGCCTCTCCTTCATAACCACCACCGTCACTCATTACCTTGGCCTTTTTGCTTTTTCCAGAGCCCTCTAATATACTCGATATCCCTTTGCGGTAATCTAATCCAAACACACGCTTCAAAATGTACTCCAAGGCTACCATTGTCTCCCTCTTCCTCGGCCTCGCTGCCGCGCAGCTTCACGCCCCCGTTGGCGAGCCCAAGGGTAACCCCATCACCCGTCCTTTGAACGAGGTAAGTTTGTTTGCCAGAGGCACAGCCATAACAAACGAAACTGACCCACCCGCCCTAGGTTGTCCCCACGTGTGAGAAGTTCACCATCACCTGGGAGCCCACCACGCCCAACACCGTCTCGGTCCTTCTCCTCAAGGGCCCTTCGACCAACGTTGTCAAGTTTGGCCCTGCTCTTGCCCAGGGCATTGCCAACAGCGGCAGCCTTTCGTGGACTCCCGCCTCGGACCTGCCCCTCACCGATGGTCCTACCGGCTACGGCATCCAGATCATCGACGATGTGACTGGCCAGTACCAGTACAGCACCCAGTTTGGTATCAAGGCTGGTGCCTGCAACGCCGCCCCCAAGCCTTCCTCCGCTCCTGCTCCTTCCGCCACCCCCGAGGCCGCTAAGCCCAGCACCCCCGCTGGCGGCTACGCCATGAACACTCCGGTTCCTCAGTCCACCCCCGGCTACGCTGCTCAGCCTCCTTACCCCACCACCGTTGCCACCTCGACCTCTTCCTGCCCTCCTACCGCTGCTGGAACTGGTGCTCCCCACACCAACGGAACTGTCCCCGGTGGCGCTGCCTCTCCCTCTGGCACTGGCAACTCCACCCACCCCCACCTTCCCGAGGTCTCGACCAGCGGTGCCGCCAACCTCAAGGCTACCCTCAGCCTTGTCGGTGCCGCCGCCGTCGCCATGGCTTTCATGCTCTAAGCAAACTAATCTTCTTCTTCTCTTTCTCTCTCTCTGCGAGAGAGGAGGTAGGTTTTTTGCTGGGAAAAAATTATACTACCTTTTTGTACTTCTCTCCACCACGTCTTTGAGATACGCGCAAATATAAAAATGGAGAGATTTAATTAATGGGTTAATGTCATGATTGCTTTGTTTGTTTATCCGCTACTTTTCCTTTCTCTGTTCTGGACAGTAACCATATACCATTGACTTTGGTGTTTCTTTATTATTCCCCTTTTTTGCGACTGAGGTACATGTCCTTTTTTCTTCCTGCTGTGTACGGAGGTGCCTTTCTAAAGTATTGTCTGACGCTAATCTCGGCGCTTCGGCACAACTCTTCTTGGCGCAACTCCCACCTTAGAGTTAAGGGGCTGTCTAATCAGTCTGCCTACTACTATGTAGTTATCCTTTGACTATGGCTCCTTATACTAATATATATACCCGTACCTTAGTAATCGCGTTAAAATCACCTCTTAGTGGCAAGAATACCTCACAAGTCTCTGCGCTAACTGGCGTTCATCCTCGTACTGTAGATCGTATCTATAGTAGAGCTATTGCTGCAGGCTTTGAGCCAAACGACCTTCCTATTAAGATCCTTCCATACCACGTTCAGGATGCTCCAAAGCCTGGTAGGCCTGCTAAGCAGGCAGAGGTGAAGGAGCAGATATTGCAACAAGTACGACACGATAGATATGGACGAGAGAAGAGCTGTGCTGACCTTGCTGGTGGGCTCAGTCTCCAAGGAGTCGAAATCTCTGCCTCTACCGTCTAGAGGGTGTTGAAAGCAGCAGGATACAGGAAGACCAAGCTAACGAGGAAGCCTAGGTTAACACAGGAGATAAGGAGTGCTCGTCTTAAGTAGGCATTAGAGCATAAGGACTAGACGTTAGAGGACTAGAAGAATGTCATCTAGACAGACGAGACGTTAGTGGTGATCAACCACCAACGTGGGGGCTATAGAGTCTAGAGAAAGGCAGATAAGAGGGTAGTCAAGAGCTGCATCCGTGAGAGGTAGAAGGGATACTCTAAGTTTATGTTCTAGGGCTGCTTCTTGTATAACAAAAAAGGTCCATGCCATATCTACTAGCTAGAGACGAAGGCAGAGAGAGAGGATGCTGCTCGTCGGATTGAGTAGCTAAACGCTAAGCTTAAGCCTCTACAGCGAGAGGAATGGGAGCTGTTAGAGTCTATGAGAAGGACAGGGCTACGCAATAAGCGTAGCAGGAAGCCTTTATAGAGATGGACAGAGAAGATAGGTAAGCTGGTGCGTAAGTCTAGAGGTGGTATAGACTAGTGGAGATATTAGGCCTGCGTTCTAATTCCAAAGCTGATTCCTTTTGCTAAAGAGTGCCTCTAAGATAGACCTTAGACTGTCGTAATAGAGGATAAGTGTCAGATAACTGATAGAATCCGGGTGTGATCGAGCACCCGGATTCTGTGACTCGGGCCAATTAGAGCCGAGTGCCAAGAATTATACCTAGGCGAGGCTGATACTCAGCCGCGTACCCGAGACAGAAAAGCAATGGTAATAGCACTCATAAGGCTGCGCGCGTGCGCGCAGCTAGAGGGCAGAACAACTCAATACACTCAGTTTCTATACTTAAGTTTATCACAGTCTTTTATCACAGTGACCCAAAAAACAAGTCCTTGATTAGAAACCCCTCACAGTCTGACAATTAAGAGTCTCACTGCCTTTACCAAGCCAATCAACATGAACGCGCAATCTGCTCCAATCAACGCAACCGTTATCTTACGCGACGAGAACGACTATCGCACCTGGTACAACCAGCTACAAGCCTGATGCGAAGCCTACAAAGTATGGGCCTAAGTCGACCCAGACTTAACAACCACGCCATTAGCAGAGCCATCTCAACCAGGGCTCCCCGATATCTCCGATTATACACCATCTTCAGCACTAGGAGAAGGAAGAGTGCCAGCCCGACTATCTGATCTATCCTCATCAGGGCAGAGAGCCTATAAGGACGATCTTGAAGTCTACAAACTCTAGATAGAGAGTTATAAGCTAAAACACGCTGCGTACAAGACTAAATTAGCTAGCCTACAACATATTGTAGTGCTAGTTCAGTCTACTGTGGCGCCACATCTCTAGCGCACTTGCTGCTTACCTAATATACCACTAAAACAGTGGATTAAGAATCTAAAGCTAGAGGCTGGGATTGCACCAAAGTTTGAGCAAGAACAAACTCGCAACAGATATCAAAATGCCCTCAAGCCTCCACGTTCAGTGAACGTCTAGGACCTCTAGCTTACTGAATATAGCCAAGCTGCAACAGAAGCTAAGATGCTAAACGTACTAGAGGTTTCCTAGATTAATATCATAACTGTAGACTTTACGTCAGCAGTAAATAAGATCGCTCCTATCTAGGCTGCAACCTTCCAAGCTACTAGAAAGGATTAACCTGGCTTAAGCCAGAAGGACATGATGAGACGGTTTCGAGAGTATATGACACTAAATCATCCAGTCACAAGAGGAAGAAGCCAGAAGGCAGCCTTTATGATAGAGGAATCGTCATACCTCGCTAGTAATCACCAATCTACCCAGCCAGAAGGGGACGCCCAGCAGGCTACTATGGGGAACTCTCAGAGTCGTAAACGGGGCAGACCCCTTTATCAACGTACAGCTAAGGATAACCAGGATCCCTCACCTAGCTCATTAAATTATCAAAGTCGTGGTAGACTAGTAAGCGCTGGCGCTAGATCACAGTCCCCAGATAGCGCTAGACCCGCGCCGAGTAAACTGGCAAGCACCAAGGTTAGATCACCGTCTCAAGGAAGCACCAGAGCTCGAAAAATCACAGCTCCCTGTCCCGCGTGCGACAGGAGCCACTCACTTTACCAGTGCTTCTACTTAGATTAGAAGAAGGCACCTAGTTAGTGGAAGCCAAATCAGATCATTTAGAATTCAATTAAACGTAAAAAGGAAAATAACCTTGAGTTTTAGAGTCTCATAAGAGCCCAAAGTCGGCCAAGGACAAGATCTTAAACCTATAAGCAATCTCAAACTCCCCAACTAGAAATCAAAGATCAGTGACTAAATGGTAGACAGATAACCTAGATCAAGGCAGTATTCGCTGCAGCCTTCGTGTCAAGCCGAGCGGACTACCCTCTACGTCACTCGTTCATACTCGATTCGGGGACAACGTGTCATGTTACTAATAACCCTAACTAAATACACTACTACAAGCCACCAAACAATGGAGATTTTGTATGGGCAGGCAATAGTTAGATATGGATCATGGGATATGGCACGATAATACTCAACCTTACACACAAACAGAGGCCTAGGAAGCTCGTACTTGAAAATGTAGCAATATGCCTAGATCTACTATGCAACCTCGTCTCTTTCCGGAAACTCCGGCAAACAGGAATATAGTAGGACACTAAATCAGAGCCTACAGCCCTTAAGAGACTTAACGGAACGACAATCTGCGAGCTCTCAGAGCGTTTTAGCCAGTAGGTACTTGATACCCACAAAATCCAGGTGCTCGACACATCTGGATTCTATGACCAACTAAATCACCAAGCACTCTACACCTACAAGCATACCTCAAGCACCAAGAAACCACCTCAGCGAGCAACTGCGATACTCTAGCACAAGCGTCTAGGTCACCTAGGCCCAGCAGCCATAGAACATCTCGTGCAGCAAGCTCAGAGGGTGAGGATCAAGGGCATTACAATAGTGGAGTGCAATTCATGTGGAAGAGCAAAAATCTGCAGACAGATAAGCCGCGCTCCTTAGACAAATAACCAAGGACCTAGTGAAAGAATAACGATCGATTTCTATAGCTATAAGAAACAGTCCTATAATAAGGAATTATCACAGCTATTAATTATAGACAAATACTTAAGATTTTAATAGGATTTCTATCTCAAAGACAATCAAACAGCTAAGTTAATTATTAAGATACTCACTAACTTCGTTAAATTCCTCCAAACTCAATACAATATCACGCCGAAAGTCGTCGAGACGGACAACGAGATCGCGACTGTTAAACCTGAAGTAATGCGCTGGCTCCAAGCCTAGGGGATTGCTGCTGAGCCCTTAGCACCAGACACTTAAGCACAAAATAGTAGCGCTGAACGCTTAGGGGGTGTGAATAAGGAGAAGGCGCGCGCAATGCAGCTAGACGCCAATCTACTATGGGAGCTTTGGCCAGAGATCACTCAGGCCGTAGTGTACCTATACAACCGAACGCCAAACTACGTTAATTAATAGAAGACGCCGTATGAAGTCTTCTTTACCTATATATCCCAAACAAATAGGATAGCTACATCTAAGAAGCCAAGAGTGGCTTACCTTAAGGCATATAGGTGCAAAGCGTTTGCAATAACTAATAATACACACTGCGGAAAATCAAGACTACAGAGGCTTGATCCCAAAGCTTGGATTAGCTACCTAGTTGGCTACCAGGCGTCGACGATCTATTAGATCTGGATTCTATCGCTGGCTAAAGTCATTAGCACTAGAGACGTAATCTTCGACGAAAATACAATATTTGATGGAAAAACCGAAGACCTAATAGACAGCCTTATGCACAGCACTCTATTAGAGATTGCAGCATACGTTAGGACTATCGAGCTCCCACCACCGATCCCAGACACTGGGACGGAGTCGTTTCACGAAGACGACACCATCAATACGACAGAAGAGATCAACGAATCAGAAGATCCACCAGGCTACTACATGGGAAGGAAGATTCAGGAGCACTATCCAACGCCGCCGGCCACACCACCACCAGTAACACTGCTGGCTCAGCTCATGAGTGGAAAGGCAGCAGCTGCTCCGGAAATCCGATCATCCAAAACAGTCCCATGGGCCGCAGCTTTCATGGCTGGAACAGACGCTAGAAGCATTAGAGATTACAATGGAGGCGCTATCGACAAGGCGCAGCTGCGACGGCTACTCGCCAAAGGAGTCAAAATCCATCAACCTCAACTCCCTGAGCCGCCAACAGCTAGAT